GGGCACACTAGAGCTGTTAGCTGAACCTTGACTTGGAGAGTTAGATGAAGCGGCAACAAATTTAGTCTTGAACTGAGACATCATTCCTGTCCTCTGAGGAGTTACTGCAACAGATCGACTAGGAACAGTATTCGATGAAGAACTATTGGACTCCGTATTATATCCAATACCCAGACCAAAATCCACCCCACGCACACCTCGACCACCGCCGCCCCTCCCTCTACCTTTCTTTCCACCTGCAGAATCCATATAATATCATCATTTGAATTGTAGAAAAAGGCTTATTTAATATGAAATTGCAAAAGAACCTTAAGAAAATTGAAATTTTAATATGATTAAAGTTTATAACTCCTTTTCTTGAATCACATTTTGATATGAATCTAACATCCTGATAATAAACAAGGTAAATCCCATTAAAATAGAGAATGTAAAATCTGAAATCTAACATAACATCTAAAGCTATCAAACAAGAAACATAGTAAGGGAAAGCAACAAAAGTTCCACAGACAAGGTGCACCCAAAATAACTGCACATCCATGTAGGAGATGGAAACCAGTGTATTTATGATGGATATAAAATACAAAGCTACAAGCAGCAAGGCAAGAATTAAAAGTCACAAGACTGAAGAAATGATGCATGAGTGGCTCTCATAGTGTAAAACTTCTAAAACTAATGCAGGTGCAGCCACCTATCATGATAAGCTGTGCATTTATGTCTATGAGATATATTGGCACAAGGGAAAATAAGTGACAATTTACTAAGGGTCCATGTGGTAATTAAGATTTAGTACTTAAAATGCGATTTTTCTCTTAGTTCTTAAATGCAAATTGGTTGGCCTCAACCGATGTATTGGTAGCCCAGAATGCAAGCGAGTACTTAATAATACACAAAAGTTATTACGTCCCCAGACTGAGCTTCATCTTCAAGTCATCTCTATGCTTCAATCCACAACCCAACAAGCCAACATACACCCCCAACAACCCCTTTTCTAAGCAGAGCATGGTATGAAGTAAAGATGGGACTACTAAAGACTGTCTAATTACTCTCTCCCTAAACTAAGCACATTTCCTGAAATTGACTATCTTGACGTTATGAAGTCAACGATCTCAAGATCCCTGTAATTCCAAGGACATACTAAAGCTTTCCAAAATAAGGCCTTGAAGACCAAATGGTCATCAAATCCATCTCTCTCGAAAGCGCACTCTAAATCAGAAGCAACCTATGCACCTATATAGTAGAGTGAAGATAACGTAGTTTATTTGTGAGACAAACACCAGTAGGTGTAATTGTCCAGAATCCATATTGCATTAAAAAGAGCACGTTTTACCAGAGAACATATTAATAACTTGTATTCGCCTTAAATGCATTATAGGATTACAAACTAAGGTTATAACCACCATCTCTAAAACAAAAAGGCAAGTAGTTGGATGCATGTATAAACTCGCTATATAAACCACAAAAAAAAAATGTTAATAGTAATGCAAAATTACCTTCATCGCAAGGTCCATGAGCTCCGTGGAGACAATCTGACCAGCAGCAACCAAGCTATTAACCAACTCACCAGCAAAACGTGCCTCTTTCTGTGTAATAAGAGTGTACGCAGTGCCATCCTTATCACCAGCCCGACCTGTTCTACCAATTCAATGGATGTGCATGTCCATGTCTTTTGCAATATCAAAGTTCACAACTGACTTAATTGACTTGATGTCAAGACCACGAGCAGCAACATCAGTTGCAACAAGAACATGGTAAATGCCAGATTTAAATTTTTGCAAAATATCCATCCGAGATGCTTGGTCCTTGTCACCATGCAGAGTTGTGACTTAAAAACCTTTCTGAGCAAGCTGTGACTCGATCTCATCCACTGCAGCTTTTTTTGAAGCAAATACTAAAACATCACCCTCATCAATCATTCCTGGTAACTTCTCAAAAAGCCAGGGCAGCTTCTCATCATCAGAAGGAATTACATGAACAACCTGAGTGATATCCTCATTGGCCATTCCCACCTCACCCACTGTAACTCTTATAGGATCTGAGAGAATCTCCCTAGCCAATTTTTCAACTTTACGGAGCATTGTCGCAGAAAAGAGCAATGTCTGTCGGTCTGGCCGAATCTGACCAACAATAGATCTAATTTGAGGCTCAAACCCAAGGTCAAACATCTGATCAGCCTCATCAAGTACTAGGTAAGTTGCCCTAAGCATTGTCAGTGCCTTCATTTTAAGCATGTCGATCAATCTCCCAGGAGTAGCAAAAACTATTTCACATCCTGCCTTAAGTTCTTTGAACTGATCAAGCTTAAGACATTCCACCATATACAGCAGAGATACGTATCCCATGTGATTTTGCAATTTTTTTGGACTCTTAAGTATATTTGGTGCGCCAGCTCTCTAGTAGGAGCGCATATCACTCCAATTGGACCTTCTTCTTTTTGAAGCTCTGGCTGATCCATAATGTGGACAATCATTGGAAGGACAAGAGTGGCAGTCTTTCCAGAACCAGTTTTCGCAATACCAATTATATCTCTCCGGGAAAGAACTATGGGTAGAGCTACGCATTGTGTTGGTGTCGGCTTTTGGTAGTCTTGTTTTTTTATGGCAGCCATGAGTTGTGAAGAAAATCCACAATCTTCAAATGTCTTAACTGGCCTCGGTACATCAAACCCCGACGTACGGATGGCCAAGCTCTTCTTGTACTAAAAAACATCCTCCTCACTCATCCCTAAACAAGGAAACCAAAACACCAGTTAACTCTAGTCTTCCATTTCAAATCTCTCCTTGAGAACTTCTACCGGTCAATATTCTCTCCCACTTAAATTTAAATACTTTGCTACGCATTTCGACTAAATTCACACAAAAATTTAAAAAACAAATGTGAATGGAAAGAAAAAAAGAAAGAAACCAAATTCTCAGTTCGGTTGGAATTTACCTCAAATCGACTCTTTCTCCTCGTAAAAATCCTTATTAAACGGCTCGTAGTCGATTGAACTATGATCGAGAGCTGAAATCGGCTCGATCTTCCTCTTGTCCAGAACAATGGGATTATCATCTGAATCGTACTCCAACAACCCGGCATCGACGGCCTTGGCGGTCGCATATACCTCTTCATCGGAGTCATATCTGGTGTGTAAAGCATCTGATGCCAGCGTGAGCACCACGTCCCTTTTAGCCCTCAGAAACCTCTCCATATGATCCTCCTCCTCATCGTCCCTGTACTTCTCGGCCTTCACTTTCAGCTTCGGCGGCGGAGCTGACCTCACCTCCGCATGAATCCCCTCCATGAAAGCATCCAGAGGATCGACTTCTTCATCACCGCTGCCAGCGTTGCCGTGGTTGTTGTCGTCACTCCCGGGGTCCTTGGAACCATCGTTGTCGTCGTAATCGATGTTGTCGAGGTCGGTGTCTTCGTAGTTGTCGTGGCTGTTTCCGTCGCGCGACGACGGAGGGACGTAGAGCCGCTGAGGGGCTTGCTGGGGCCGCCTCATGATTCTTTGATTTTGATCATGCTGTTTCTTTAGCAGTCTCTGTACAGAAACGATTAAGGGGATGTTTGTTTGCCTTTTTAGCTCTCACTGGACTAGCTTAAGTTAAAAGGTAGTGTAATCCGTGTTTGTTCACTGGCAGGACTAAGTTCAATGGGACAAAGGAGGACTCGCCTCGACTAAGGGCCAGTTTGGGATTGCTGTTCTTATTTTTAAAACTGCTTCTGTTGTTGTTTGGACCTCAATTTACATCATCGGCCCGTGCGATCAAGGCCGTTGAGTGAGCATTGCTCCACACCGTCGGATAGGAAAGTTAAGATAATTTTATTGTTGTTAGGGGATAATATTATGATTTTTAATCATAATAATGATCTTTTAATAATGAATTATCTTGACACTTTTTATACAAGATAAATGTGACGCAAACTATACCGAAGCAAGCAGAACAGTTCGATTTAATGTGGGATTCTTATCATTCGACGCGGGGATTAAGCATCATGCATTATGAGAAGAGTCCTAGCACGTGGTGGCATCAGTTGGTGATCAAGGTGGAGTCCAACTTGAAAGATTAATTACGTAAGCTAATGTGATGCATGCATGGGATAATTATTAGCAAATTCAAGGTTGCCAAATAGGTGAAGTGAATATCCTATGGATAAAGCTTGATATGCCAGGGCTTTGGGACTAGGATTTGAACGACAATGCTTATCTTTAGCAAAAGACGGAATTGGCATGCCATGATTTGTTATGTGGTTTTGGCTGAAATGCGTTAGCACCAAAGAGATTTGAGTGCTACGATTCTCATTGGATAATCATCCTCGCGTAACGATTATTATTTGTGGTGGTGATTGATGGTCACGGCCGGGTTTTATGCTAAGTTAGCTCTATAAATAGAGAGGCAGTGGCAACGGAACGAGACCCACAAAATCAATACAAAATTGCCCTGCGCAAACTCTCACAACTTGTGATTTTTCTTTTTCCTTTTTCACTGACACATCTTCCGTTGGCATCAACAGCACTGTGGAAGCAACCGGTGATATCTTAAGTCGGCATAGATAGCTCTGTCACTGTAGAGTCAGTCGGTCTCGCAGTACCTTCCGTTGGCATCAACAGCACTGCGGCGAGAACGATTGATTACCTATCCAAGTCTCGGTCGAGAAGGGTTTCTAAATCCTTATTGGTCGAGGTCATCTCATCAGCCTTCTCGGCGAAGTGAGGTGTTACAGTTATTACATTCGGCACATTGAAAGCCGAATTTGATTTTGAACTTCGTAAGAATAGTAACCTTGTCTTCAGGTTCGAGAGCCCAAGAGGCCGAGACGTGTTCCTTTCTCGGCCGCAATGGCAAGACGCAGAAGTCAGTAGCGCGACCCAACGCAACATCAACAAATTTACTCCTCGGCCGAGCTCGGCCGACGAGTTGGCACGCCCCGCATTCACCGAAGGACGTAGTTAGCTCATTAATTACTCGGCCTGCGCGCCACGTAGGCTTTGTAGTTTTTAGGGTCAACAGTTGTGCTTTAAGAATAATCAGCTGTAAAATAAAGCAGCTGAACGTTTGGTAAACTGTATTTTTAAAACTGCTGTAAGTATGAAAAGTAGTATAAAAGCGTTTGGTAAATACTAATGTAAAATTTTGGAAATTTTGTATAATGACAAAAATAGACATAACTAGAAAATAAGCCCACGTGTTGCAGTGGGAACCACTATTTCAGGCGTAACTGCATGAATAAGACACATTTTACCTGAAAAAATTCAACACAATCATGAATGAACAGAGGGACACATGAGTGAATGAGATCGATAAGATAAGTAGTTTGACTTTTATATACATTCCACTAAGTTGACATGTAAAGACATTGCACAATTAGTAGGAAGAAACTGAACATTCTTGATCACAAAGACATGGTTGCCAAAAAAAGTTCTGTTTCCATAAGAAACATAAGCAACATGCAATTCACACATATTTTTCCCTTGTAGTTAAGAAGGCAAAATATGTGTCCTATAGGGCAGGCACCTATTTCAGCAGTTAATAAGAGAAAACATAGAAAGCGTTCAGTACTTGTTCAAGTAGCTAATTTTCCAAGCACAAATAGTTCAAATTAGTGATTAATCAACCAGATAGTTAGTCTCAATGATCTCCCAATACCAAGGACATCGTGATTAATCAACCAGATAGTTAGTCTCAATGATCTCCCAATACCAAGGACATCATACAGAAATTCAAGTATACCTCATTAACTCTCAACTCCTCAACTCCATCACTCTTCCCCCCATTGTTTCTAATTCACCTCTCCTTCGAACTCTTCGACTACAAATTTATATATAGAAAATTGAATTGTCCATTTCAAATCATATATACATAGGCAGAAAAGCAAAAACTAAACTCTCACCACATAAATTAATCGGTAACCAAACAAAGAAAAATTTTTGGAGACCAGAACAAATCCAATTGAACTTTCATGCTGACTGATTGTAATTGAAAAAAAAAAAACATATATTTAAGTGCCCAAAATTTGAGCTTTACATCATGTTATGTTCTACCACAAACAATTCCTTGGCTGTTAGGTAATTTATGTGGTTTTCGATCTATAGTTGTACTTATATACCAAAAAAGTAAAATAGTCGAACACAAATGAAAGAAATTAATAAAAATTCTAAGTTAGAGTTGTTAAAAGTTCACTTTCATTTGTATAATTCAAACTTCCACATATATTCATATACTTCACCAGTTGTCAGACACTGCTAATTGCCAGGATAGCAAGATAACGAATTTCGTGAACGAAAAAAAAATGCTATGCAACTTCAACTTACCATGCCAAAGAAGCTCCATAAGAGTAGTAGCATCCTCCTGATTGCATGCATCAAAAGCATTGCAACCGTAGATCCTAGAAATTATAAAAATTCATCTAGTCAAGAGACAATGTGATAGTTGTGGGAAGGTGACTATGCAACCAATAATCTAAGATATACCTCACAAATTTGCGATTCCATCATAATTTCACACAAAAAAAGATCAAATTTTGATTCAAACATCAAACAAAACAATCCCATTTGTTACAGATAGGACCAACCAAATAAAGAATCTATCAATATGATTTTCAACCTAACTATAAAAAGGAGCTTCATAACAACACAATCAATATCATTTCAACCCAACTGAAAGGAAACTAATTGTATGCCATAAATTCCATGGGCTATTTGATTTTGCAGATTAAAAGAATTGAAGAATACTGAAAATTACTAAACCCCATCACAACATATCATCAGTGAAGAATTAATTATTATAAACTCAAGCTTTGATAGTTAAATGTTAAGGATCAGTAATGATAATATTGACGCTTTTTAAATTTTATAATACCTCATCTATAAACTGGGACACCTTGTGCTTAAACAGCTTCAGTTCTGTAAACCGGACTTCTTGAAGAATTTAGCAGATCTGTAATAACATTAAATGAATGCATTAAAACCTTTATCTATTACCTGCCAAACCACTCAATGAGCACCCAAAAAAATGGTGATATTAATATAGAAGATAAGGATAAAAAAGATTTAGTGAGTAATGACACGCCAATTACATGTCCAGACACCCCTTTTGTGCGAAAGCAAGTAAAAGTGACACTATAATATAGGTTTCATTGTGAAGAGAACTTGTATAAAGAAAGGTAATCACTTCAAAACTTATTTCCATTGATAAACATCAACATTAATTTTGCATGAGACATATTTCCAGTTTATTTAGAATGACACCATGAGATTTACTCCATACGATTTACAGCCAAACAAATAGCATAAGATAAAGAAAACATCTATGTTTCTCATTCTGACTTGGCCAAATGGCCTAAACTATGAGAAATTATCAAATTTGGTTCTAATTATTATTGTTAGGGCAGGAGTTTTGCTGGATGGAGCCCATTTCATCCAAGTTCTAATTATAATTGTTGTAATACACAGAGTTCAGTGCAGAGGAGTTTGATATATAACTATTAAAATTCACATAAAATTCGGTTTCCATGTAAAGAGTTCACGTTTGTAGAAGCAAAGCCTAAAAAATAACTAACCTCGCCGACAACATTATATTGTTATCCTGAGGCGCCCCACTAATCCTCGCAGGCTGGTCTTGTTGCAGCCTCTCGAAGTCTCTCTCATCAGCCTCTTCCTTGTAGGAGTTGACATCATTAATTTGTTACCACCTATATATCATCAAACCAATTTAATAAACCCTATTTTAAGATTAACTATGCGTTGAGCGCAAAACAATTTCATCTTTTTTTTCCAACACCTATCAAAATATCAAAAACCACTTGAAATATACCAATGATAAGTCAACAATCAAAATCCTCACATAATAATTTTTAATTGATGGATAACCCAAAAGAGAGATACGCAAACATATAATGGTCACAAAAGTAAGAGTAAAAAATTCAAACCTCAAGAATATGATAATATTACACCAAAGATGCATGCTTAATTAAAAGTCCTGCCAAAGGAAAGTCAAAAACTAAAAGTCAGCAAAATAAAATTTAACAAAAGATTTAGTGCCAAAAGAAGTAATGCATACAATTTACCTATTTTATAATGAATCCAATTCATAAATATTTGGAGTGTAGGCGTTTCTCCCTAACACCACCCAAAATATAATTCGTTAATAGATTTAATTCATTCCATATATAATCATCCTAGGGTTATTGTGTTGCCCTCTTTGTGTTTTTCTTCTCCGAATAAATATGGAACCAAACCTATGAACTGTCTATCCAACTCAATACACAAAAACCAAGCATTATCAAAATAGGTAAAACTTAGATTTCTGCGTACAACCCAATAATATCGATCAAATTTTCCTTTGTATTTAAAGTAATTTCATCCCAAAAAGCAACATAGCAAACCTGCACCCATACCGTACTCATAAGAATATATAAATTCTGTAGCTAATTAGTAATACAGCTACCACCTAAGTTCCTTTGTGAAGAAAAAAGAAAATAACAAAAACTAAAATTTTAAGGGGAAAAAAATGAAACTTTTTTTTCCTGTAAGGGACCATACCAGCACCCGATTCAATCGAGGGTTTTTACAAATCCAAAACTACAAAAAAATTGAGAAACAAATTTAAAGTTAAGATCGATGAACACCGTACCTTGAAAACGGTAAACATGTAAAATCCGACCACAACTTTTCTTAACAAATTTCTCATTTTTTCCTCTCATCGAAACACAAAATCCGAACATCCTGAAAACTTTATTCTCTTTTCGTTTCGGGTTTCAACCTAAAACCCTAATTTGAACCAAAATGCATAGAAAGAGGAAGCACATCGGATCTAATACAAACCTTCATTCTGATCATTCTCTTTGAACTCGTTGAATTATATTAAACTACATATAGGGAGAGGGAAAATAAAATTGCCCACGTGCTGCTGTGGGTTTTGAAACTGTAATGCAGGACATACTATGAATATTTTCGACAGAAAGACAAATTATTTAGATTCAGTTCACATCAACATACTGTGCATAATGAAGAGAGAGAGTGTATATTTGAAAGTTTGAATTAAATGAAACATGCAACAACAAAATATACTGTTTTTATCCCCCCCCCCCCCAGTCCTATAAAACAGAAGCATATGATGTTTCAATTTAAGTTTTATGTCGTTTCACTTCCGCTAAACAATCTAATTTCCGCTGTCCTACTCTGTCCTACGTCACAGAACAAAAAGAAGGTTACCTAAGAATTGATGCATTCATCTTCTAAACATGCAACAGAAAAGCACTCATGCATAAAAAAGGGTACATTGGAAATAAATAGATCAACTTAAGTGCTAACAGCCAATCAACAAATTGAACATAATTTGAAGTTTTAATAGAATGAGTTAAGAAAAAGGAAGCTTGGTTTCCACATGAAAGAAAAGATCCACTTGAAATGGTAGTCTTTCAAGATGTTTTCTGGTATTTATGCGAATTCTGAAATGCTATAAATGTAAAAGTTACCTATAAAGCTTTTTCTGCGTTGGTTTCTGTAATCACTCTGCAGCATTTGCAGCCAATATCATGAGAATAACATGTGCCCCATTAATTTCAAACGATAAACCTTTATTAAGTGTCTAAGACCGAGTTGTATCCCACGTGCTTAATCAACAACAAACATACAAAGCAGTTATCATATATCATAAAATTCCAAATCTTAACTTGTAAAGTTTCAAGTGCTCAACAAATTTCGAACAATGTATGTTTCAATACTAAAAAAAAAAAAAAGAAGACATGCATCAAAGACTTTTAGGTGGAAAAAATATGCATTGGCTGAAATAGAGATAATTAGGATTTAAAATGTTAAAAATTTTCTTTTTGGCTCACTAATTAGATGCAAAAGTGAGATTGTATGAACAATTTTACACCCGGAAACATGAACCACACAGAATCACAACTGATCTAACAATGAGAGAAAGTATATAAGATGAAACACTAACAGAAGGCTAAAACACTCTTTTAATTGATCTAACAATAGGCTAATAGGATTAACTAAAGCATTAGAGACTGCAACAATGAGAAAGTCTGAAGATTAAAGTTATTGTTGAATATCCTTGAAAAACATTTTCAGTAAATCTGTTCAGGAAAATATAGAAAGAAACTTAGGATGCTATGCAATTCCATCATCCAGGATAGCACATATTTACCTGGAATCCAACCTTAAGCCAACATTTTTCTATCTATAGCATCCATCATACCTAACACAGTTTAAAAAATATTGACTTGTGTTCTAAGCAACATAATGCATTCACATTTCAATTGTCAAAGGGCATCACAATAATCCCGGATTAAAGATATTAAAAATCAGAACTTCTTCTCCAAGTTTTCATTCAGTTTATTTCACTTGTCCATCATAATTTTTTTCAAAGAATGATCAAATAAAGACAATAGCATGCCAAAGATTAAAAACCCTCATTTCAAACTTTGCTAATGCATAGCTATGTTTGGTTTTCTCTTCCGGAGACCAGACTGAGAGAGGAGTCAAGTTCTCTAGTACACCATAAATCTCCCGTTCGAGAAACTATCACCACCTCACTCGCCACTCCCTCAAGGCACCAGCTTGCCACCACCCTCATGTCTCACTCCCTCTCTACTACTCTCCCTATTTCCCTCACCTCTCTCTCTCTCTCTCTCTTGATACTGTGCTCGCTGCACAGAAATAGCAAGGCGACCACCGTCGCCATTTTTCACGGAGAACTACGCCACCACGAAACCACCTCCATTAATCTCGCCACGTACACAACTTTTACCATCCCTGAACCAACCCTCTGCAAACTGCCATTATCCCTTCTAATTTCAGTTCTTGTATTTTTTGTATGGTAACCATTTCTTGCACACTCAAATATTTATATACCAACTGAGAATAACAATATAAATCCCACACCCACCTCTTTTTCCCCACTTGAAAAATTCACCAAAAAAGCTACATTAACCACCATAGTAGTTTAAGAATCCAGACCCCAAATTTCAATCTAATTAATTAAATTACAGAGGATTCTATCTACCTCATGAAAACAAATATGTTCAGTTAAAGAAATGCCCTAATCACTGCATCTTAAACTACTTCTTAACTATGTCAGCCATACCAATCTAATAAAAAATCCATGTTCAATCAATTCTTATTAATTCCAACTCCAAGTATTTCAGCATCTAGATTATAGAAAAATCACAACAAAACAAAACTCAGAACACCCAGATTCCAATCTTGGTGCTAAAGCACACTTTGTTAACCTCACCTTCATCAAGTCCATGATTCCTACCATGAGATCTTTCTCTCTATCCAGACTTGGCTTCAGCTGCAAGATCAAAATAACGAAGCATTCAATTCCTTTTCTATACTCATAAAATTAAAAATTAAAATATGTTATAATTGACTCGGAATCTTCACATGTATTATGAAAGCATATAAACAGATACATTTGAAAACTTATAACGCTACCTACTAAAGTTGAAAAGTAGCTAATTAAGATCCAAGTTCTAGGCATCCAGTGAGCCTTCCAGGGAAAGATGGCCCTATGGACTTAGACTTTGAAAACTGAGGCTTGTTTTGCCTTGTAATTGTATAATCAGTAGCATCCTTATGGATTGCAATTGTATGATCAGTAGTATCCTTATGGATTCCCAGATTAATCTTCAAAATTTTGTTCTCATCCGTTAGCTTATGCACCTGGGATAAAAGCCACTCAATTGTTTCACTATTCTCCTTGTTTCTCCTTATCAACTCAGCCTGGTGCTGCATATTTTCGTCAATGAGCTCTGAGATCTTTTCGTGCAACATTTTATCTTTTTCAACCACATTACCATCACATTCTACACCATGATCAATATTATCTTCTTCCATGTATTCTTTGAAAGTGCACAAACCAACCTTTTTTAGGACATACCAGCATTTGTTTGTTTTGATGGCTCTGATTTTGGTTTCCGTTTTCTCTTTTGTGGTGTCTGGTCCATATGCACTCCAAAACACTAATTTGAGTGCCTACACAGATGAACATCGCATAAAAATCATTAAAAAAAATCCAAAACAGCAGCAGAGATAAAAAAAATGATAATAATTCTAAAAAAATTAAATCAAAAGCTAAGACTAACTCACAGGAAGCTCTGTGAGTTAATTTTTGGGCAAAAAAAATTCTATCAATGCATTCTCAGACAAAAACTTCTTTAAATACTGATTTAATGCAATCGAGGAGCTAAATGCTTAAATCAGAAAAATTTCATCAACCAGATACTCCTATAGTGCAGTGCAGCAAAGTTTTTCTTGAACCTTGATGTATATCACTATAAAACTATCCCAAATATATCTCAGAGATTGCAGAAATTCAGACTATCAATAATGAGAGAGCCGGAATGTTTTACCCTAATCTTCTTAGGATTTTAACTAAACAACTTGCTCCTGTAACAGCTATATTAAAGCATAAATATTCATGAACACTCATCACCAATAGCAAAAAGGCACAAAGTACTTTCACAGAAATCTAAAGATCCCTTTTATGCCCCAAATCCAGGTCTGTCCTCTTTGCCTTTCTCCATCAGGGCATAATTAAAGATACCCACCAACAATATAACAAAAAACATTGCAGTGAGATTTTAAAATACCAACTCTATTTGATATTACAATGAAATATAACAAAAAGTAAAATAAAAACAAAATGTACAAAATTCATTATTTTTGTAAATTAGTAGTGGAATAAAAGAAGAAGCCAAACCCAGAAAAATTAAAAACACAGAATCACAGTAGAAGAAGCACACCATTTCAGATCTTTTTATCCTCTTCGAAGATCGATCGATTCCATAGAGAGAGAGAGAGAGGAGGAGGGGGAGACGAAGAAAGGGAGAGGAGGTAGACGGAGGCGAGAGGAGGAAAGCGACGGAGGCGGTTTACCGGAAGCATGTCTTGTCTTGTGTTCCTAGTCAATAAGTTAGTTAATCCTCACAAAATCCCTCACTCCATCGGGTCAGTGACAACCTCCCCCAATTTTCTCCCTCTCAATCTCTCAATCACCGACAACTACCCATTAATTTAGGCTTCTATTGGCAATTTTGACACATCCCTTAATCCCGACACCAACCCTTGATTTGAGGAGAAAAAAAAATCAACCATAACCCCTTTTTATAGCAACCTCACTCCTCCCTCTCCCTTCCCCTCCCTGCCATCCCCCGCCTATCTCCCTCTCTCTCTGCAGCCCATGCTTTTTGGTAATGGCAGGAATGTAAATAATACAAAATCAAGGGTCCTACACACGTTGATATGTCATCGTGGTTTCCAATTGAACCATGAATTCCAGAATGTAAATCATACCTTGAGTATAAGAAAACCCACAAAGGAAAATTAAATCCCTCACAAATGGTGCAAAAAAATATGAGAAACCTATATTAGTCCCAACGGTGAGAGTTTTCATCAAAGAAGTAGACAATCCACACGCTAAATCACCAATCAAACATGAAGATGATCACAAAGAAGAAATCCCTAAAACCAATATTTTATTAGAGTTGAAAATCGAAATTAAGCCAAAACGGAACCTACACTACCCAAATTAAGCTAAAAATTCACTAATCCAACAAAAAGGCAAAGAAAAATCATCCTTAGATGACTGCCATTGATTCAATGCAAAGAGAGCTCAAGCTGCTTAATATTGTTCTGAAATTAGAGAGAGGGTGTGAGAGATCATGAGAGGTCAGAGGGGCGAATGGCGGAGTGAGATTCAGCACGTCTCTTCTCTGCATATAAAAGATGCCGCACAACTATGCAACTTACTCCGTGGACTTATAAACATCACAATTATAAATTCTGAAACTGATATAAATTGAATAGACAATACACAAAGCATAAACAAATTCAGCGTATGAACACCAAAACTTACCAAACTCATGTGCTTGCTTGAAGCTATTTTTGATCATTTTTCTACAATCTACTGCATAAAAAGGACCAAACTATAACGGCAAACTATATATATAATTTGCTATAATACCCAAACAAAGTAAATTAAATTAACATTTGAGTGGAAGCCACGACCAAAGTGGTAAAATTCAAGAAAACATCAAAATCCCAGAAAAAAAAAAATCTTTCAGACAAAATAAAAGAAATTCACTCAGGTAATCAATCAATTATGTACCTAATTCCCCTGATGTCTTGAATAAATATAACAGTCCAACATAAATTAACTACCCAATATTAATTTTTCCTGTTTCTTTCTTCTTATTCTCGGGAAAGAAACAAACCCAAAAACAAATAATTGAAGAAAACATACAGAAAAAATTGGGGAGGAGTAACATACAATCTGCTGAGTTCTTCTTCGCTTTGTAGATAAGAGATGGTGGCTTCTCATCGAGTTCATGTATCTATTGCTTGGAGTGAGATGGTGAGCGGGAGTGAGAGAATAGGGCAGTGAGAGAGAGTCGGGAGAGAAAAAGAGGGAAAGAAATGGGGATGGAAACGGACGGAAATGTAGTCGAAGCAGAGCATTCCACGATGACTGACGCGTGGGCGCTGTTAAACTGTGCAAAAGCGGTGGTAATTTGTGAAAAAATCGAAATTTTCAATTTGCGATGAAGAGATGATGGTAATTTTGTAAATAACTTAAAATCCACTCCAAGTTACTATTCATTTGAATAGTGCAATTGAAAAGCCTTATTACTTTAGTCTAAAGAAGGCTTTTCAATTGGCACTGTTCCTTACTGTTCATGGCTACAGTCAATTGTTTGCCACTTGATTTCACCTTATTTACAAGGAACCCATCAGATTTGGGCTGGGTTGGAAGGGTAATTATTATAACTTAGAAGGGTAAATTTGTCCGTAGGGTTCACTGCCTTCGACTTCTTCTTGCTCTCTCTTCATTTCCCTCAACATGTAGCCCCAGCGCTGCTCACCCCCATTCTTCTTCATCTTTTCTAAAACCTAGCCGTCCCTCCATCTCTCTCAACCCTAAACCATCTTCCCCTTCTCCGTAAAACCCAGAGGCCGAGAGGCCTGAGTCCACATCACAACTCGCCACTCCGGCGAGCCTCAACTCCATCAAACAACCACTAGCTCCCTGGACTCCCCTTTCTTTTCTCTGTAAACACCGAGGCGCACCAAAGCCTCCATTTTCCGGCAAAACATGACTACAGCACCACCACCACTCGCTCCATCTCACAGAACCACTATCACTCACTCTGTTCTGTTCAGGAGACACAGGCGAGGCCTTTCACTGTGCACTGGCTCCTGCCACTGTTCGTCGACTTTTCCTATGAGACTCACCTCTCCTGACCTCGGTAAGCCACCCTTACACTCCTCCCTTATATTTTCAATTTGGGACTCGAATTCAAGCTTACATGTCTTTTAGTTTTTCATGCTTCTTTCATCCAATCATCATAGCCCTCTCCTCTCTGTCTCTTTATAAACAATTTCCAATTGGTTTTTAGAGAGAGAAAGTGGCAGCAGCAGCAGTGGGAAGGAATAAGGACTATTCTTGTCTCTGTGATCGTCTCTGCCCTTCGAAGCTCTAGGGTTTGGCTTTGGCTCTGTTAGTTGTTGAGGTAGTTATTAATCCGTACTTTGATTGTAATTTTTTTTTTCAGTATTCAGTAAGTTTGATCAAATGCGTTTCTTTGGACTTGCATAAGTTGTGTATAAAATTGCTTTAATCATCTATTGGGTTCCTTTTGTATTATTGAGTTTTGGGTTTTGCTAGAAATTGTATAAAATTTAACCAAATTGCATAAATTATTGAGCTTTTGTTTCGTATTTTTATGGCTACTATGCTAATTAGTTCATACCCAAAAAGGAGCAGAGAATTAACTGTTCTAATCAGTAATTCCCCACTCTGAGAACTTGAGACCTTGGCTTGCACTGATATGCATTTCCAATGTTTTAGATTACATTGATCTGTATTATTTTAAAGTATATATAAAGATTAGTTTTTAGGTGTATGCACTAAATATTGGATATATGGTATTTTCAGGTTCTTTGACATCCAATTGCATATAATCTCAATTTTCTCATGCAATTTTTGTCTGAGCTTCGGAATCGTTGAAAAATTTGTCTAAATAATTAATTGATTGAAATGGCTGTTAGTAATGAATGAGGTGTTTACTGTTTTTTGGTGTGTACAGAGCGAAGATATGTTGTTAACAAGGGCAAAAACAAGATGCAGTTTGCTGCATATAGAAAACAGAGGTTAGTTTGATTCCAACTCCTTTTCTTAGTTTATTTGAATCAGAAATTGGTAAGTTCAAGTCCAATTTGATGATTTCTGGCAGATTCTTTAATCAGTGATTTTCTTAACCCTGATTACACGTATGAATCCTATTTGATAATGAAATAACATAGTTATTTTAGTTATAGTAAGGATTAAAAGCTTTCTTTTATCTGTCCAATTTTTCCAAACTTAATAAATTAGGTTAGTTTTTAATACCTTTTTTATACTGCTCAATAAAAAATTTGTTAATCATTTTATTACATATAAAATAAATTTTTTCCTTTTTACATTGCATTTTAAATCTTTGCAAATAACTTGATTCAATATTGTCATATGGTATACATATTTCTATGCTAATGAGCGTATCCAATTTAGTTTAGTTGAATCAAATGTTGATAAACTTGAGTCCAATTCGGTCATTGGCTGCCAAACTCTAAGATCACTAATTTTGGCAATCCTAATGACACACATCAGTCCCAATTAACAATGAAATCACATGGTTGTCATACTTATAGTAAAAACTAAGAGTTCTTTCATCTCTCCAGTTGTCCAAAGTTAACAAAGTAAATTAGTTTTCTATACCTTTTTCATGCTGATTGGCTAAGAATGTGTGTATCATTTTCATACATGCCAAATAAGATTTCTGCTTTTTGTAATCCATTTCTAATCTTTATAAATTAATTGATTTAGTATTGTTATATAGTATATAAATTGGCATGTTAAGTGTATCAGTCTGTTGTTTTAACAGTTTTATTTTTTAATTAATCACTTTCCTTTCTGTTATATCTTTGCATTTTAAATTGAAGTTATTTACTAGAGTAATTATGTTTGTTTGATTGTAGGGATCCTATTGAAAAGCAATGAAGAAGAATTGAATTATTCTATTGCAGAGCTCAGGATAAACTACGCTTCTTTACCAGAAAAATTTACGAAATAAGAGTTGGATAAGATGGTAAGTAAGTGGGTTTGGTATTCAATGTGGCTGTGTTTAGTTAATTTCTGTAGAGTATTAAATGCTTGAATACAAAGACTTTTGGCCTTCTTTGAAGCCCAAGTGATTCAGATTTCAAATTTATGTGTACATTGATAAGTGTGGGTGTAGACACCCAATATGATTCTTACATGGTGTTGCTATGTGGATTTTGACGGAATTATATTGGGGATTGTCCAAATTTTGGTTTAGCTGCAGATGAAGCAAGATCAAAAGGTTATAAATTAGAGGTATAATTTAATTTTTATATTTGATGCATCGTTGGATTAATGAATATAGTAGGAACATTGACTTGGAGTATGTGCTTTCGTTCATTTTTTAGAATGGAAAACTGAATTTGTGTTTTTATGAGTGTGTATATACTCAGTACTTATTTTAATTACAGTGGAAGTGATTGAAAATTATCGAGAATTAGTAAAGTTTACACACCGAAAGAAATAGATCGAAAATAGCATTATTTAGTAGTAAGGAAAATTAGGGTTTCAATTAAAGGATGGCAGGAGGAGGAGGAGGAAGACCTTTGGGGCAAACACCAACTTGGGCAGTTGTCGATATTTGTTTTCATTTGGTTTTGGTTTTGATCCACATCAAATATTTCATTCATTTAATTGGAAAGGTTTCCTTTCACACGTAATTGGGTTAATTTCATCTTATCAAGTCACTTTCGGGTTTATTATGAATGTGAAATGAATTATTTTGATTAAATTTGAATTGCAATCCTTGCAGTGGTTGACAAAGAGAAACAAAAGAGCTCTCTATGAAGCTCTTGAGAATATGCTATTAGGGCTCCTATCTTTGCTTCTAACAGTAGGACAAGACCGCATTTCAGATATGTGTACATCGAAGGCTGTTGAAGCTACTTGGCATCCATGCAATAGTAAGCAACATATCAAATCAGACAAAGGCAAAGATAAGAGTGGTGCTTCAGATGACAACTCCCGCAGATGGCTTCCCTCAGCCTTGGATTCCAGTGGGGGGTGGCCGATGTGAGCTGCTGGATATGACAAATGTGCAACCAAGGTGCACTGAATTGTCCATGCTTTTAGTTTTATAAAATATGACAAGTTAATATACATGTTTTCTTTGTTTTTTGACCTATAGAAATGAAACTGAATGTGATTTTGCAAATTATTCATCTGCACTGGTTCATTTTAGGACATGACTCCATTTGTGTCGCCTTTGTAATGCATCTTTTCGTGCCAATTATTCACGTCTATTATGGCTAATAGTTTCAAAACCCGCAGCGAAGCGCGGGCATTTTTTCTAGCTTTTGTCTAAAGAAAGCTTTTCAATTGCACTATTCAAATGAATAGTAACTTGGAGTGGATTTTGAGTTATTTACAAAATTACCATCATCTCTTCACCGCAAATTGAAAATTTCGATTTATTTACAAAATTACCACTGCTTTTGCACAGTTTAAGAGCGCCCACGCGTTAATCATCGTGGATTGCTCTGCTTCGACTACGTTTCCGTCCGTTTCCATCGCCATTTCTTTCCCTCTTTTTCTCTCCCGACTCTCTCTCACTGCCCTATTCTCTCACGCCCGCTCACCATCTCACTCCAGGCAATACATACATGAACTCGATGAGAAGCCACCATCTCTTATCTACAAAGCGAATAAGAACTCAGCAGATTGTATGTTACTCCTCCCCAATATTTTCTGTATGTTTTCTTCAATTATTTGTTTTGGGTTTGTTTCTTTCCCGAGAATAAGAAGAAAGAAACAGGAAAAATTAATATTGGGTAGTTAATTTATCTTGGAGTGTTATATTTATTCAAGACATCAGGGGAATTAGGTACATAATTGATTGATTACCTGAGTAAATTTCTTTGATTTTTTCTGAAAGAATTTGTTTTTTTTTCTGGGATTTTGATGTTTTCTTCAATTTTACCACTTTGGTCGTGGCTTCCACTCAAATGTTAATGTAATTTAATTTTTTTGGGTATTATAGCAAATTATATATATAGTTTGCCGTTATAGTTTGGTCCTTTTTATGCAGTAGATTGTAGAAAAATGATCAAAAACAGCTTCAAGCAAGCACATGAGTTTGGTAAGTTTTGGTGTTCATATGCTGAATTTGTTTATGCTTTGTGTATTTCTATTCAATTTATATCAGTTTCAGAATTTATAATTGTGATGTTTATAAGTCTATGGAGTAAGTTGCATAATTGTGCGGCATCTTTTATATGCAGAGAAGAGACGCGCTGAATCTCACTCCGCCATTCGCCCCTCCGTCCTCTCATGATCTCTCACACCCTCTCTCTAATTTCAGAACAATATTAAGCAGCTTGAGCTCTCTTTGCATTGAATCAATGGCAGTCATCTAGAGGTGATTTTTCTTTGCCTTTATGTTGGGTTAGTGAATTTTTAGCTTAATTTGGGTAGTGTCGGTTCCGTTTTGGCTTAATTTCGATTTTCAACTCTAATAAAATATTGGTTTTAGGGATTTCTTCTTTGTGATCATCTTCATGTTTGATTGGTGATTTAGCGTGTGGATTGTCTACTTCTTTGATGAAAACTCACACCGTTGGGACTAATATAGGTTTCTCATATTTTCTTCCACCATTTGTGAGGGATTTAATTTTCCTTTTCTGGTTTTCTTATACTCAAGGTATGATTTACATTCTGGAATTCATGGTTCAATTGGAAACCACGATGACATATCAACGTGTGTTGGACCCTCGATTTTGTATTATTTACATTCCTGCCATTTTATGTTATTGTGTTATTTGGGTATGAATTCTTCCGTTGTTTGTCCATGCAGGCCGAGGTTAAGGGGCAAAAAATCACATGGTTGACCCCTCACCCTTTGCAGTAAGTTTTGACTGATGATATTGATTATATTTCGTACTTTGTGTTTCTTTTTGTCCGTTATCAACCTCTGTTCGATTATGGAGTGGGAGTTTGATAAAGAATGTGACTTTGAGATGACAAGAGTTTTTGAAATTGTGTTGTAGCCATGTGTGAAGCTGAATGATGCAACCTTTGATCTCTCCCATCTGAATAAAGCTAAATTTTTGTATTAACATGTAATAATATTTAAATGTATACTAAGTTTCTCGGTAGCCAAAACAGACCCTTTACATGATTCTGTCCAGAATTCGTTTAAAGATTTAAAAAATTTCTTCACTCTGTTAATGGGTTTGATTTTTCCCCATCTGTTTTGCAGTTTGAGTCTACTGAGTTCTGCGGATTCACTCAATTGCAATCATCTCTTACAAGTAATCTCTACCTTCATTGTTATTTGCATATGAATGTTAGGTTTTATTTGGATGTATTAATACTTGGAATGTGCTTGATCATATTGCCAGTGTTTGCTTATTTTTTTACAGCACTTGCACCGTGAAGTCGATGAAATTGGGTTCCATTTGTCCAGTTTATAAAATTCCATATCGACGCAGAGGTATGAATCATGATAATTTTATGTGTACAATGATCAATTGGTGATGGATACATCAATCTTTTGTGTTTCAGTTTCTTTTGTGTTCGTGTAACTGATCCTGGGATGTTTGTTGCAGGCACTGGGAAGACGACTCTGTCTACGGATCATAATCGGTATCTAATTGGAGATGATGAGCACTGCTGGGGCAACAATGGTGTGTCAAACATTGAAGGTGGTTGCTATGCCAAGTGCATTGATTTGTCAATGGACAAGGAACCAGATATTTGGAATGCTATCAAATTTGGGACTGGTACTTAACATCATGATTTAATTGAACGTTCTACTTTAAAAATGACAGTGCGCAAAATGTTTATGTTCTGTGTCATGATTGGAGTGATATTTCAAATTCTTATCAAATATGGTTGCATGTGTTTGGCAGTTTTGGAGAATGTCGTGTTCGATGACCATAATCGAGAAGTTGATTACTCAGAGAAATCTGTTACTGTTTAGTAATTTAAATTGTGGGGTTATTCAATTGAAAGTTTTAATTTATAGTTTAGTTTAGTTTTTTATTTATTTTAATTTTGCTATTTTGTTTGTGTTTGATTATATTGAATTCGAATTTCAGTGAACTTATGTTTGGGTTTGATATTTTCCTACAGGTCGTGATTGAGGGAGCTTGAAATGGCAATTGGATTTCACGTCGTTGGTAAGGAAGACCCTTCAAGCGTCTTCCATTTTGTTCTATCGCTTTTCTGCTTCTCTTCCTCCCTCTTTCTCTCCCCCTCTCTCTGCCTCAAATTCAATCCGGTCATCTAAAAACGTAGTTCTTCTATTTTTCTCTGCCATTTTCCAGAAACGGATCAGGCGTTTCAGATTTGGATTTGGATTTTGGGGATTGTATGATTATATCTCTATTCATTTGGCTGTCTCGATCAATAATTTCAATCTTCAGATTTGCGAATGCCCTTTGCTATCTGCTCGATTGGAAGTGCTCAATATCTTTGAAAATCCTCTCACTAATACATGTGCATCTTGCCTCTCCGCTATCTTGGAAAATTGCAAGGGTAAAATGCTTTCATTGAAGCTCAAGCATTTAAATTATTCGTTTCTGTTCTTACTGATGTTTAGTAGCATTCCTCAGTCCCCTGGTGTTCATTTATTTAATTTTTTTTTTTAGATTAATTATTGATATTTTGTTGACTTTAATTGATTGAAGCTCTTCGTTTGGTTGTAGCCATCCGATTACGTAACTTACAGCCCCAATTGCTTGAGGGGTTATGAATTTTGAACTGTTTTGAATGAAATGTTGTGGAATTTGAATTGTTTTGAAAAAGCCAGGTATCTTTTCATCCATTTTACTTCTTTTATGGAGACATTTGTTAATTTGAATTTGGTTGCTGATTTAAGAGGCATTTTTTTTCTTAATTGCTTGAGGGATTTGCTGCATATTTGCGTATTTCAATGTATTTGTTATGGTTTGTAGTTTCTCTATGTTTCGTAATGGGAAGAGATTGTTGATAATTTTAATTTATGATAGCTCATGTCATATGCTTTTTTTTCATTGCTTCAAATATAGATTGATTACTAAAACACATATACTGACCATCTTCCTTTTCGCATGTGATGGTGGATAAATCTTCATGCAGGTCTATCTGGGGGAGCAGTATGTATCCTATGCTGCCCAATGTCATTTTCTTAGTCAAAGGTTTAACATCTCAACCCTAGCAGCCAGAACCCCAAAGGTTGCATCTTCCAAGTGGGGAATTACGTTAGGGTTTCAAATCGGGAGATGCGTATTCGAACTCTAATTCATGATTTGTGTTTGTGATCTTTACGATTCGTTCGAGGAACCAATGTTTCGTCATCTAGATGTTAAGGTACGCATGCTATTGAGTTGATTAATTTGAAATTTGATGTGATTTTTGTTGTTTTTACTGGCAATGCTAAACACTTCTTCAACCAGATGGATTCATTAGCTTCTTTGGAAGGCAATAAGCAAGTGCTAACTTCTTTTTTTATTGAATTGCATCTCCAATTATTTTCCATTGTTTGGTGAGAAAATGTCTTTTAGTTATGAGATCCGTGTTCCTATTATACACTTTTAATGTTGATTGCACATTCTTCATTTATAGTTGCTGCTCTTACTTTTTTCTAAATGTTGATGCTGGTATTTATTTAATTTGCTCACTTTTGCTTCTTGCAGTGTCTCCATGGTCAATGTCCCATTCTTCATTGTTGACAACTTTATCATTTGATATACTTCAACTTCTCATTCTTCATGATTCAGACTTTCAGCTATATCGATTAGTACTGAGTGAAGTACAAGTGGCAATAGAGAATAATGTGAAAAGATTTGTTACGAGTTAAAGGTGAATCCGAGGTAAGTTGCTGTCCAGTTTTTTCGACGAGGTTTTCCGAGTTTCCGGCGAGTTTCTTATTTAATTTTTATTGTTTTTACAAGGATCCTTCCCGCCTCTTCCATACTCTTAAGTTCGCAACCTCTGCCGCTTCCAGCTCTGGACTCAGATCCGAAGCCCTCATGTGTAGATTCCCTCACACTTCTCCCTCTCTCATTTCCATGTTAATCATTCCAATTTTCATTTTTGTGTCGAATTCTAAATTTTAGAATCAGGGTTTAGATTAGAATCATGTGTTACACATTTGGGATTTTGAGTGCAGTTAGTATTTCATGTTTTCCCTCTTTTTTTTTTTAGATAATCAACTGTTATTAAGCTGTTTTGGTAGTGATTAGAACTTCCTTTAGAAATAATGAATCAAGTGATAGAGAGATAAGGTAATCGAAACAGTTCAAATATGAAGGAAAAAAGGTTTTGCTTTTATAAGGTTTCAATTTTTTTGAAGTTTGGAGGCTTATGTCAATCTACATCAATTGTTTGAATGGTTGTATCTAAGTATGCATTATCCATTCAATTGAGCTGATGATGCATGTGTGCCAATGAATTTTGAAGAGTTCGGCTTGGTTTTCTCTCTTTGGTCTTAACATGAAAGGCGAGGCACCTGTTCGTTAACTAATTGAGTCCCTTCTCCAAGTTTTTAGTATATATTGGGTCGCTGTAATTTGCTTTTATGAGCACATCTGTAACTAAAGAAAATTTAAGCTGTCAAGTTCCCAAAATGTCTAAGGGTATATCAAGTTTAACAAGGCACGAACTGTGATCAATTGAAATGCAGTGAAATTAGGTATTTTACACTAAAAAATTCAGTTAACTTTAGACCATAGGATTAGCATTTTGCACATGTGAGTATCATTAACCTGCTCATTTTATTTTCCTGAATAAGAAACAAACTGTCATTGAAGGGAGAAGACATTGTACAAAAACAAAGTTTATGCAAGATTTATATACGTGAGATCTTTGCTGCCATAGTTTTTACTTGCTATATATATTGGGTCATAGTGGATAGCTGGGATAACCTCACAATAAGTATGTATTCTTCTTCTATATAATCAATTCTATAGCTGTTGTTTTTTCCTGATCCATATTTGCATTCTACATGTTATCTTTGTGACCGACTTATCAAGTCACTAAGCAGCAAGCGTAATCAAAGGTGAACCATTTCATGAAATTATGATATTCTGAACAATGAATTTGTGTTTCAGTTAAACAAGAAGCTAAAGCGTAATCAAAGGATTTGTCGACCTATTGTGGAAGGTGAGATGCCAACTTTGTTTCCCAATACTTATCTTTTATGGAAATTTTAATATTTTATATTTTGAAACTCAAAACTGATTGTCCTTTACATGTTTTATGTAAATAGTGACATCTATGCACATATGCTTACAATCAGTTCATCAAAATCTTGGTTATTTAAATTCTTAAGAGATGCCTATGTTGATTTGTGATTTTGTTCCCCCGTATTTTACTTTCTTTGTTTGCAAGAAGCATGTTCAGTTGATTCAATTTATTCTTTTACTTTCTATGACAAAGCAATCCTTTGCAGTCCTTTGGTTTCAAGGTTTTTTTTTTTTTTTTGAATCTGGCGTCCTACGTGCAATTACATGTGTGAGAGACTTTTTAAATTAGACGCATTACACGCTTCTTATGGATTTTATAACGTCAGATTTTCATTCAGTTGCTGTTTTAAATTTGGGCTTCCATTTGGTTGAGCATCCTTTTCTCCAAAAGGTAACATTGTTTCTAATGCCTAATCAAATTTTGATTTCTTGGGTCATTACAATTTATTTAGTTTTGTAAAGAGAAATTGTTTACGAGTGCAAACAACTGCCAGCTTTTATTTTGTAGTCTGAATATGCCAATAAGACCATATAATTATAATAGTTGGGACAGTTACTGTAAATCTTTTTGTGACGTTTTTTAATGGGTATATTATTCCATTGTTTTCAGGGATGGACAGAAGTCCCAAGCATCAATCTCTTTGTGATCATTGCTGGGAAAATATCGTGGTCATTTTGAGTTCGGATTCAGCTAGCATGTGGTAAGCGTTTCTTTTCTGATTACTTTCATTTGTTTATTTGTGAATCAATAACTTTTTTAGGAATAATGAATGTCACAATTGCTGATAAATTGATACTTTATTCGGAGCTTGAATTGTAGATCTGTGCAAGCTATCCATATCTGGATCAATGCTATGGACTCTTCTCAACCTATGGACCTCAAATTTCAGTGTGTCTTCCATCATTTATCCTACCTCACTATGCATGGAGCTATTACATTTGCAATCATATTAATTTCTTGAAAACAATATTTATATTTCTCTGTAAACTGCTAATTTTGGAATATACTATCGTTTCCTTGCTGGTACATTAAAATGAAAATATGAAAAGTAGTCTCAATCTCGCTCGGGGGTGTTGTAGGCCAATTCGATGCTACGAGGCACTTCGTTTAGGGCTATCTGAGGGTGAGAGGTGTTGGGTGTCTGAGACAAGGGGTTTCAGTTTAGGGAACCAAAACATTCAGTTTCGTCCTGTTCATTGTACAATGTCTTTTCATGTGAGTTCAGTTCAATGTATATAAAAACGAAGTTGCATATCTTACCGACCCCATTTACTCATCTATTCCTCTCTTCATTCATGATTGTGTTGAATTTATTTAGGTGAAATGTATCTTATTCATGTAGTTAAAGGTGATGCATTTAAGTCCCGCAGCATCGCGCGGGCACATTTTCTAGTTTAGACTAAAGTAATGAGAAAAATAGTTTTCTATTAACTTTTTGGTTAAAAAGATGACTCACAAGTATATCTAATCTTTTTTCCCTCAAATTATTTTGACATTTGTAGTTGCATTGCCAAAAGTTAAAAAAAAACAACAAATATTAAATAAATAAAATTTTCTTCAATGTCTTCAAACAATAATAAAATAAAATAAGCATACATAAAAAAAATTACGAACACATCAAACTTGCAGCAATGTTGTTCCTCAATGTCTCTATTTCTTGTGCTTCGGGTCCTTCGGTAATATGATATTCTTCTTGTTCTTCATCCGAGTTTGTGTCATCATCCAAGTCATCCTTCATGTTGTCAAAATGATTATCACGTCGGGCATACCTTCTTATATAATTGTGAAGCGTCATAGTTGCGATTATTATCTTTACTTGCTTCTTAAATGAGTAACTAGGCATGTCTCTTAAAATGCTCCACCTCTTTTTCCATACACCAAAAGTGCGTTCAATGACACTCCTAAGAGAAGAGTGTATGTGGTTAAATACCTCTCTAGATCCTGTTGGTTCTCTGCCCCTACGAAAATCAGGAAGATGATACCTTTCACCTTTATAGGGTCCTAAATAGCCGCTCATCTGTGGGTACCCAGCATTCACAAGATAATATTTTCCTGTAATGTTCAAAACATGCTACTATGATATAAAAAGAAACTATAAAAAGTGTCTAATCAAATGCAAAATTTCAAACATATGCACAAGTTTGAGACATTACCATTAGGAGGCTTAGGAAAATTTAAAGCACCGTTTCGTAAAACAGATAAAAATATCCTTGTATCATGTGCAGTTCCTTCCCAACCTGCACATGCAAAGATGAATTGCATGTCAAAATTACATACGGCCATTACATTTTGAGTTGGTGTCCCTTTCCTGCCAATATATGGTATTTGATCTCCGGGAGGTATTGTGGCTTGAACATGTACACCATCAATAGCACCAATACAGTTCTGCAAATAATATTATAACACAATTTTCAATAAATATAACTTAATTCATAAGACAAAGCAAGAAGTATCATATCTAGTTTTTTTTTTACCTTAAAGTGGGGCATATATCTAGAGTCGCTTAATATCTCTGCAGAGACACCATTAAACATAGGATCCAGTGGTTTGATAACATCAACAGCCATAAGGCATACAATATCAAGTAACTGACTAAAGTATCTGCTCACAGTCTCGCCGGAGTGTTGAAATCGTTCTTGTGCTGACCTATTCCCTTCACCTTGTCCTAGAATAAACAAAAACATTCTTAACATTTCACCAGGACACATTCTCCTTGAACCCCTCAATCCATACTTGTTTTGCAGGTCACTACACAATCTCATAAATACCTCTTTATCCATTCTGAACATCCTATGACAACGCCTCTTTCCCCGTAATATTTCCATTAACCACTTATATCCTGTTTGAGATGAATCCATACAAGGTGTTTTGTGGATATATGTTTGATAATAATGTTCTATAGTACGAACACAAAGGCATACAGTTTGGTTGAACTCTTCCTCATCTTGCAAGATGTCCATATCTTGAAAGAGATCTGCAATTTTGAAAAAAAAATAAAAATCTCATCATTATTCCTACAAATAGGAGTACATGCATGAAAAAAAATTATTCTTAAATAAAGAATCCAAAACCATCCAATTATAATCCCAAGTAAAACACAAAGAAATCCAAGTAACCATCCCAAATGACAAATCAAAATAATAAACTCAAGTTTAAAGATATCTTAGACTATACTGTCTACCACGAAATATAAAACTTTGCAAACTAAATGCATCACATGGCACTTAATTTTCAGCTTGCTCATAGTTAAGCCATTGAAACTTGATGTCCAGATCTTCTATAGTTAAGAACATTTCTCTCTTCTCTTGTTTTAGAAATAATCGAGTTGCAAATAACCACAAAGGGCTCCCAGGCCCTGCACCAGGTAAAGATGAAACTATCTTCATCACTTCAGCAATGCTACTATTTTGTAAGCCCTTGGCCATGTTTGAAGTTGTTGTATTTCTACTCTCAATTGCACTAACCATACGATCAATCTGTTCTGACAACTTAGCAGCACCTCCCAATTTCCCCTTCTTTGCAACAACTCCTTTATCCTTATTCTCTTTCTTAACTTGTGTATCAAATTGTTGAGTTCTTTTTTTCTTCTTCCCCAAATACTTCTCATCGGCTTGAGTATTTTTGAGTGGGATAACATCATCAAAATCACTACTGTCAATTTGAATGCCATCATCCTCATCAGATTCATCATTATTTTCACATGGAAGTACACCAGACGAGGGTGCCCAAGCATGATCACCAGTAGTGGTATTCATGAACATCCTATCTAGCTTATCTTCCATATCAGGGCTAATTCCTTTTCTACGCAGACTTTTATATTTTTTGTTGATCTGCAATTTAAAGAAACAAGTATTAAAATGCATTCAAGCTCAATAATAGACAAACAACATCCAGAAACTAACAAGAAGCTTACAAACCTGAATTTTATTATGCCACCACTCATCCGAAGCATCAACGGTGTTGAGCTTGGGATTCCATCCTAGACCAGTTTCTTTTCCCTTTAGTTCTTTCCATAATTTCCATTGCTCTTTAAGTGCATCCCACTTATTTTTTAGCTGTTGTTTACTATACTCATCTCCAGTCTCTTTATTTAGGTTAATACTCACATTTTCCCATCCCTCTTTTTTAAAGTGGGTACCAGGACGATTTCCTGCCTCCACTTCCTTGATACACACGTCACAAAATAGTGATGTATTGTGAGCATTCCATACAGCTGGCAGTTGTGATCCACTTGCCCCATTACTTTCCTTCTTAACCATCTGTGTATACAATTATATATATATATATATATATATATGTGTGTGTGTGTGTGTGTGTGTGTGTGTGTGTGTGTGTGTGTGTGTGTGTATTGATACACACTTAAGAATTTTAGCACATATTTTTTATATATACAGAAAGAACATATCAATTGATCAAGTGAATTTGTTACTATAAACAACTAAAGTGCAAAAAAAAAAAAAAAAAAAAAACAAGTCCAATTCATTGTCAAGAAATCACATGATTGTTGCTCTGGATGCATAGATAAAAAAATGACCAGGTTTGCATCAAGAAAATATAAGATAAACATGGCAATTCAAACATGACTAAGAACAACTCTAATAGAAATTCGACTACTCTAGTAAAAATTTGATCGAATTCAATTTACATGAGCATTTAGGTGATAATAGCATAACAATTCCCAAGCCATGAGCCCTTAAATAGAAGTAATCATATGGAAAAAGATTACTTGAAAGTTTAAACAAGAGCAATGTAATCCAAAACTAATAAATTAAGCTGAAGAACTCCGTCAAAATCAATTGATCATGCTGTTTCTCTAGCAGTCTCTGTACAGAAGCAATTAAGGGGGTGTTTGTTTGCCTTCTTTAGTTCTCACTCGACGCTTAAGTTAAAAGTTAGTGCAATCCATGTTTGTTCACTGGCGGGACTAAAGGTAAATGGGACAAAGGAGGACTCGCCTCGACTAAATCCCTCACTAGGAGGTCTTAGCGAGGCCCCCCAAAAACAACGGGATTGCTAGTCCCGTCTCCCTGGTATGCGAGCAGCGTCCTACGAACCCACATGAGTAGCATTAACCCCCCTTCTCCAGAAACGGTTGTCTCTGATCTCCATCGTCCTGCAAACCCAGCGCCATTTTGGCATCTGGGTTGGTGATTTGGGATTTTTTGCCATCTAGGTCAACCCGAACGATGAAAAAGAAGAAGGAGAGAAAGAATATTTCTTGCCTCTTTCGTTTCAATGGCGTATACTGAAACATCAACCTCCTCCTAAGATTTCTCACAATCTAAAGTCTCGACTTTTGCAGCGGACGACATTGTTTTACGATGATGATGAACTAGCGGAGAATGTTGAAGTTCGTGCAGGCCTTGGCGGCCCATAGCCTCCTCTTCTCCTTTACGCTACTGCTCGTCCTCAAACTATATGGCGTTGCCGCCTCCTACTATTGGTGATCCGTTTACTCTCTCTCTCTCTCTCTTTTTCTTTCCTCAGTTTTCCAGCTCTAACTTTTGTTTAATTTGAATGGAATTGTCAAATTTTAGGGTGGGAAAGTTTGGGAATTTTGTTGGATTGATAAGGCAGGTGATGGGTGTTGTTTGGTCTGATGGAAAATTGGTTTGCATGTGAACTGTGTATATTTGTGATCGAGAAGAAAAGGAAAAAGGAATTGGACGGGAAAGGAAAATGGAAGAGATGGAGAAAAAGGAGGAGAGATAGTTTGACCAAAGAAAATGGAGAGACAGATAGAGTTCTTTGTTTTTGGATAAAAAAAAAAGGAAAATTAATTTTTATCCTACTTTTTAGTCCGATACTGCATCAAATGCTTCATTAAGCTAATCTAAGACAATCCAGCTTAGTTCCTAAAGCTAGTCCAATCCGAGACATTCCAGTGCAACAAACGCACCCTTAAGTGGACTAGCTAATTTGGAAAGTAATGATACCACAATGGATGTGCGTCTTTTACCAATCGAGATCAAGAATTAGGAAATGAGGATCCAATGAATGAGGAAGTATTATCTTCAAATGAGTAATTGTGGGAATGGAGATGTAACTGCTGAGAGAACCAAGGGTAAAGTGGCTGCTGAACCGAATAATGTGGTAGCACGTGAAATGATGATATAATGACATTTATGGAATGAGACTTACAAAATAGATAAATGATTTTGGATTGAATTGAATTCTTGTAAGAATAATCTATGAAATGAGACTTACAAATTGGAATTGGATCCCCAAAAACTGAGCCCCCTGAGCAATGAATTTGGGCCGTTGAAATTTAATCCAATGACTACAATTATTATAACTTTTAGAGGGGCCCTGTTTGTAACCGTTTGATCAAATTTCAATTGTCCTAATTCTTTGCTCAGAAGGCTCAGTTTTTAGGGATCCGCAGGGGATTTGGTTCCTTACAAAATAAACGATTCAGATCATTAAAGTTCGTTGTGGAGTGGACCTACACCTAATCCCCATTTTTTTGAAAAAATGGGGATCTTTTTGCATAAAGGGCGTGATACTATACATATCGATATAGCTCAATGTGTGACTCTGAAGCTAACGACTTCACTTATCTAAAAGGGAGATTATATTCACACATCCTAAATTACTTCCCTCACATCCTTTAATTTTTTAATCTTTTTCTATCAAGTGTTAGTAGTGTGTAGAAAATAAAATAAAAATTAAAAATGTGTGGAAGAAATTTTGGGTGTGTGAATATAATTTCTCTATTTGACAACCCAAAGAATTTCACTTTTTTTTTCCTTTAATTTGTGTTTTTCGACTGTTAATTTCTGAGAATTTATGAAAACAGAGACGAAATCAGTTTAATTGTTTGCTAAAGTTTTGAACTTCTCTTGTTGGGAATGAAATGTATTGCATGAATTAAATTGTTTCTTCTTTTTTGTTTGTTTGTTTGTTTTCTTGTTATCAGATATGAAGTTTTTGACTTTCTTTTGTACTGCTTAGAGTAAAAAGGACCTCTATTACTGTTATTAACGTGTGATTTTACGAAGCCAGTTGCAAAATCCGCCATTTTTGTTCATTTTTTCGATTAGAAAAACCTTTTATTCAACTAATAGTTAAGGGTTAGGTGTGAGTGTGACTATTGGGATTTTGGTCTTGATTCTTCTGTTAAAATGACTATTGTATTAAATTTGTCATTTCCGTTTTATTTGTTGTAGATGGCTAGATGGGATGAGATTATGTCCCTTCCTGTGCAGAGTCCACCTGCACTGGAGTTTTCTTCTTCTGATCTTGTGTGGTCAAAGGTGGAAGGTTGGCGGGACAAGAAAGATGGAGTTGCTCTAATTCCGTTTCCTAGAGTTGACGATTTTCTGAGGGGTGAATGCTCTAATAAAGAATGTCCAACAAGATTTCATGTTGAAGCGAGGCGACGGCGGCAGCCATAGACGCCTAACAAACCAAAGGTTGATGGTATTCTAGGTATTCTTTAGTGGCGCGTATCATATATAATCAGGATAAGCATGTAGATAGGAAATGAGTGCCATGCCATGGTCCACAAGATAAGATGGCTGCTGGAACACGTGCTATATTTGCCCCTTGTATCTCTGAGGATCTGCTTCTTCGTGTACAATCTTTGTTATATGCGGGGGTCTCTGTGGAGACTATAATGCAGAGACACGATGAATCTGTAGAGAAACAGGGTGGTCCATCTAACCGTGATGACCTTTTAACCTATAGGTATGTTCGAGGCAGGAGAGGGTCATTCGATGCTCTATATATGAATTGGATGCTGATGATGCGGTTAGCATTAGCATGTGGGTAGAAAACCATCAGAGTCATGTTTTCTTCTATTAGGATTTCTCTTATGTGGACCCTTTCACTTTGGGCATTCAAACAGAGTGGCAGTTGCAACAGATGATTTGCTTCGGCAATCACAGCCTTATAGCTTTCTGATTCAAGGTTCGGAACAACCAAATTGAAGGTCCGTTTAGTTTGTTTAACCTTTTATTATTAACTACAATTGTTAATAATAATGAGAAACCGAATATGTTCATGTTGCAATGTGACATCCCATATCGTCCAGGGGAGTGATCCTTAAATGTATATTCTCATCTCTACCCTAGCACGAGGCCTTTTGGGAACTCACTGGCTTCGGGTTCTATAGGAACTCCGAAGTTAAGCGAGAAGGAGGCCAGAGCACTCCTAGGATAGACCCACTGGGAAGTTGCTCGTGAGTTTCCAAAAACAAAACCGTGAGGGAATGGTAAGCCCAAAGAGGACAATATCGTGCTATGGTGGTGGAGCGGGCCCGGGAAGTGATCCGCCCCGGGCCGGGATGTGACAAATTGGTATCAGAGCCTAACCCTGGCCGTGGTGTGCCGACGAGGACGTCGGGCCCCTAAGGGGGGTGGATTGTGACATCCCACATCGCCCAGGGGAGTGATCCTTAAATGTATATTCCCATCTCTACCTAGCACGAGGCCTTTTGAGAACTCACTCCTTTTGGGAACTCACTGGCTTCGGGTTCCATAGGAACTCCGAAGTTAAACGAGAAGGAGGCCAGAGCACTCCTAGGATGAGTGACCCACTGGGAAGTTGCTCGTGAGTTCCCAAAAACAAAACCGTGAGGGAATGGTAAGCCCAAAGCGGACAATATCGTGCTATGGTGGTGGAGTGGGCCCGGGAAGTGATCTGTCCCGGGCCGGGATGTGACATGCAACATTATTACTATCCCGGTGGCGTGGATAGTGGCTCCAAAGTTTGGAAGTTCCAATGCCCATAAATGGATGAGAGCTCTTCACAATAGAATTGAAACGAAAGATCCTGTTTGGAAGTTGGCTAGTTTCATAGTGGATGATCCTCTAGCTGATGTGCTCACCATCCTGTTGGTTGCTCAGTCCTCGCCCAAACTTGATACTGACAGTTTTATTTCATTATACTCAGGGATGTATTTCAGTGTTCAGTGTTGATAAGCTTTTGGCGGGTTCCTCATGCATGGCATACAAACTTAGTAAAGAAATGTGTGGACAATGAGATGCGAGCTACAATGTCAAGAAGGCTTCGTCAAGCAGTGGATAACATCTGTCAACAACGAGGAGCCGAGCGTTTGTCTGAGGACTTCATAGAAGATTTTCTTGATGAATAAGATTTTATAGATTACTTTAAGGCAACTTAGTATCCTAGAATTAGCTAAGTTACTATCATCTTTAGTAGAGGTATATTTTGCCTTATGATACGAAGTAACAAGTGTGTCGTTTAATTCCTTCACCCCCTTCTCTTTAAACAGGGTCCTTAATTTTCTTTTGCTTTATCTTGAATAACTCGCACAAGAAAAATGTCTTTTGACTCAGGGATGTGGGTATCTGCACTACAAACTCTTCCTCTTGCTAGCTAGGAAACCTCTGCGGCAATGGAGTTCTAGCACAGCCACTAAAGCTTAGGTTATTGAACGAGAATAAACCTAGAGTGTAAAAACGAGTTGATTGGTTGGTTAATAAGCTGGGTACAAAAGTGCATTCCTTCTTCTGGCTTGATGAATATTCTGAGAATGATGATTTTGCACAATATTGGAAAGATGAGTGGGCGAGTGGTTTAACATCTTGGCGTAAAGCTTTGAAGATTCTTAACTGCAATATTATCATAGAAGGTACTCGTGCAAAAGTTATTGACGAGTTTGGTATTTGCAACTGCCATTGGGCAGAAATGGGCAACCTGTGTGAACATATACTCAAAGTTATTAATATCTGCCACACAGTACCATAAGGCCTTGATCGATATGCTACACTACCCGTCTCATGATTCTTTGATTCGTGATCATGCTGTTTCTTTAGCAGTCTTTGTACAGAAGCAATTAAGTGGACTAGTTAATTTGGAAAGCAATGATACCACTATAAATGTGGCATCTTTTGCCAATCGAGATCAAGGATTAGTAAATGAGGATCCAATAAATGAGGAAGTATTATCTCCAAATGCGAATAACTGTGGTAATGGAGATGTAGCTGCTGAGAGAACCAAAGGTAGTGGCTACCTAACCGAGTAATGTGGTAGCACGTGGAAATGGCGTATGTAATGAGAGTTATGGAGAAGAAATTACTGGCGATGAAAAGTTGATCCCTCTTTCATCTGCATTTCCCCACTAGGGTTGCATTCTGTTGACGAGGTTGTGTCTAGCAGTGTCTTCTCTGAAAGCAAACACAGGTCATTGTTTAACAGATAGATGAAGACCTGTCTCCTGCAGATGATGCTCGCACTAATCCAACCGGATTTGAGGATGACATCTTAAATAGAAATAGCCAAGAAAATACGATGGACAAGGACATGAATATCCTTTCCTCAACAATGGAGTTTGTAGAGCAATGCAAAGTAACTCATCCTGATGATTACCACAGCCATGATATTGATCCCGCTGTTATTTGCAAGACATCTGTTGAATCGCAAGTGGTTGAAGCGGCTGAAACTCTAGGTGTCATTACAGAAAATGATAGAATGGAAACTGAAAACAAGAACAGAAGCACGATTAATCACTCATCCTCCGCTGATGACACTGCCAGTATTGACGGGCCTTGTGACAACTTGGTAAATGCTTCTGCTTGTAGTCGGGACTCAAAGGCTGTTGGCAATATGATGGTTGTACAATACTCAAGATCGAGTTACAACGAGGAACAATTGCGCAATTGAATTGAGATACCGGAATTGGATCTTCTGAGAACCCGTCTTCATCTCATCTTACTAAGAGTGAAATGTAAAAGTGGCGCCGAAAGCATTAACCGCAGCGCTGAGGTGATCGACGAGCTAGTTGTCAGTGGCATTATTATGTACTTGTGCTTAGGGAAGCATTTTAGTGGAGACTTCTGAGGCCTTCTGGCAAGTATGAATAATGGTAAGGTTTTGGTTTGCATAAAATCTAGGGAGTTTTAATGAAAAACCCGCGGTAATATTCATTTTAACGAAAAATCATATTTTTACACTAAAAAGTCAATTATGATACTATTCACTTTACCATTTATTTTGTCCTTATCATTAAAACTCAAAGTTTTCAAGTCATTTTCATTAGTTTTCCTCAAAATCTAAGTTGGCATTCTACTTAAAAATTACTTTTGTCTAAAGAAGGGATTCCAATTGCATTATTCAAATGAACAATGTTTTGGGATGAATTTCAATTTATATACAAATTTGCCACAGACTCTCTCTGCCGCTGATCTTGTTGCGCACGCCTTGATGATCGCGGGAAGGGAATAGCAATGGTAAAGCAGGCCTTTTCCGTTTCCTTCTCAAACCCTCCTTGCCTTGTACGTCTCACAGACCTACGATACAGATGGTCTCGCCTCCGTCCTATCCTCCTCTTGCCGCCGTCTTCCTTCTCTCGCCTCCGTCGTCTTACTCCTTCTTTCTCTATCTCTGGAATCCTATCGTCATCTTCCTCGCATGCAAGGCTCTGGCCTTTTCAATTGAAACCAAAACGTGTTTCAGGCGAAGACGAAGAACCCCATCGAAGTCTCAGACTACTCCGGCTCTGAGCTCATTCTCAGCTTCATCTCCGACCCATTTGGGTTCGCCTTCAAGAGGAAGTCCAACGGGCAGGTCCTCTTCATTTGAGCTCCTACTCCAAAGACCCATATGGCGAACTGGTGTTTAAGGACCAGTACCTCGAGATATCCACCCGACCGCCGAAAGACGCCTCCCTGTACGGCCTCGGAGAGAACACTCAGCCGCACGGGATCAAGCTCTACCCGAACGATCCACACACCCTCTTCACCACTGAAGTCTCGGCGATCAATCTCAACACTGATTTGTACGGGTCCCACCCGGTTTTACATGGATCTCCAGAATGTGGGCAACGAGGCTTACGCGCACTCTGTTATGCTGATCAACAGCAATGGCATGGATGTGTTCTACAGAGGGACTTCTCTCACCTACAAGGTCATTGGGAGTGTTTTCGACTTTTACTTCTTTGCAGGGCCGACGCCGTTGGGCGTTGTCGACCAGGACACGGCGTTCATCGGCAGACCGGCCCGGATGCCCTATTGGTCTCTTGGTATGTTCTGCTTCCTACCCTCTGCTTTGCCTTCATTAACTTACTCAGTTATTCCTACTTCTAGCTTTAGATTAAAAGCATTGGATGTGTATATTTTTTCTCGTGCTTCTTTCCCTCCAACTTTGCAATTTTTTTTTTTAAATGTTAATTGTTTGGTTGGTTTGTTGGGATCTTTTCATAATTCTGTATGGGTTGTTGATTTTGCTTTTCTTGCATTTTAGTTTGATTAATTTTGTGAATCAACGAGTAATTTCCATTAGGACTATAAGAACAAAGAGTAATTCAATTCTCAGTACCCATATTCCGATTAGTTGCTTCTAATTTGTCACCCAAAATGTTAGGTGTTTTGTGTTCGGCATATGAAGTGATAAATGTCTCTGGATACCCAAAAAGAAGATGAATTTAGAAGAATACAATCTTTAGGACCAACTGATGAAAAGGATCAGAGAAAAGGTTGTCGAATACACTCTTGGTCATGCATCTGTGATGTTGTAAGAGCTCTAATACTATCGTTGTAACATGGAGAAGGGAACAGTCCATAGATATCAAAGTTGTCCTAGAAGAGAAGTGCTGTTATAGCACTGGAGGGCTGTGGTGCATTTTTGTTTTGTCTGAGTGTACATTGTTATTATTGTTATTGTTGTTTTTGGTGTTGTGGTTGGAACCGTGGAAGCGAGGGAGTGGTGTCTTACAGTGTGATTCTGTCAGTCGTATTTCTTTATGTTTGTTTGATTTTGGTTTCTGGTTTAAAATGTCGATGTTTAAGGTGCAAAGCGAGGAGGGCATCATCACTGAGCTCTACATCCTGGGAAAATGGTACGTAATCAAATCTAATCCGCAATTTTTTTGTATGATTGTTTTTGGGATTAATTTGTAGTTTTTTGTGGATACAGTTTGGAGATGGACAAATGATCACCAAGAAGACGTGATAAAGGATGGAGGGAATGAAGTATTGTTTGATGACCAAATCACGAAGCGGAGAACAACACGGAGTGGTTCTGATTCTCATGCCCTGCCACGTGCTCAAACACATAATTGTACAATATTTATGATTTAGGGCTTGCATTCATTAGAGTGGAAACACATTCTAAATTAGGAATATCATAACATTGTCTTACGAAAATTCCAAATGGAAAGCAGTCCATACCTTCATTAGAAGGGAAACTGAAAGTATATAAATTATGAAGTGCGGAACTTCAAAAATGAGGGGCAAAAATTTTGTGTATGCTAAAGATAGCATACTGCATAAACCTCAGTTTTTAAATATGACAACATGATAATGCATTTCAGTGCATATAAATGTAGTTCCACAAATTAGGCTCCATCTGAATGCAATTGGTTTCTCTGCTAGATTGCCATATATGAAGTATGATGTTTTGTTTACCGCATCTAATGGTCTTACTTATGGATTGCAGGAAGAAGTTATCATGTTAAATGAACAATTTAGCCATTTGAAAAGTTTGGTAAGCTTTTATGCCTTGGTTTATTTCAAGCTTGAGCTTCTTTGTTGGATGTTAATCACTATATTTTCATTCATTTATTTGGGATGTGGTGGCACTGTTGATGCCATTACTATCAATCCCAGGATTTTTCATTTATAACACTTAGATTTATTTTAATCTATTAGTTTATAAAGTTTCTATGTAAAAAGTGTTTGTGGTTTCAGACAGCCAGTGGGGGAACCGTCTTTACCAAATAAAAGAATCCAGTTTTGTATTTTCAACGTCTTAATCCTTTTCCTTTGTTAACTCTTCGTTTTGATTTTTTACCAAACTATATATTGCATCTTTATCTTGGGTAGATTTTTAAATACAATATTGGTGACACAATACCATCTACAAATGAATGGTTTCCTATAGCATGCATATCCATATATTGGATTGTGTTTTCCACTTCATTGCATTTGAATATTAAGCTTTGTCCATAATTCGCTAAAAAACATTGTCTATTATGTTTGTGTACGGATGGTTGAATTGAAGGCTTTATTCGAAGATCTCCTACAATCTCAACAATTGCAGTTGGAGGAAACTACCGAATAAAATGGTAGTCAATGATGTTCTTTGTTATTCTATTTTTATATAAACAATACAAATTCTTTATTTCTCATATTCTGTAAATTTTTTAGTTTAATGAAATGTAACTAATTTTTTCAACATACTAATGTATATAACATTTTGAATTTTAGGTAATTAATGTGACATGGTGATCATATTCAATTTGTGTTTGTTATGACACAGTGGAGCTTTCTATATGTTTATATCCGCAACACCAGCTCACGAACAATCCTCGACCCTTCGTCCTTGCAGCTTGACTTAGTTTTGAACGAAAAAGCTCCTCCAGGAATCAATTTTCTCCCCCTCCTCCTTGCTGCTCGACAAAGGAAGGTTAGTTTGTGACTGAGAAGCTTGAATAAAACTGTAATTCTGTATACTAAAGCATCTGCATTGTTTTTTCGGTCAAGCATTGGTTATTTGTTCTCAGAAATGCAACTTTTACTAAGTATTCTATGTTGCTGCACAGGGATCATATATGCTACCAACCTAAACTGAGATAATGCATTTTCTGACTTTGATAAATTGTCACATCATCCTAGGACATAGTGTTTGGTGCCAAAAAACGTGGGTTGCTGAGCTACAACGAGGGAGATGGGCATGGGATTGGCAGGGAGGGGAAGGGAGAGGGAGGAGTGAGGCTTGCGAAAAGGGTGGTTGGATTGATTTTTCCTCCTTAAATCAAGGGTTGGTGTCGGGATTGAGGGGTGGGTCGAAAGTGGGTATGGTTGTGAGGGAAAGAGGGATGGCAGAGACAGAGGTCATGGAGTTGGGCGTGGGAATTCCACAAACCGAGGGCTGCTGTCAGTGGGTGTTAATATCAGCAATAAGCATTACTGGGATGTGAGTTATCTCAACCTTTTGATTAATTTTTATATTTCGGCTTTTTATATAAGCTATGTAAATGTTTAATTTCCATTTGAAAACTTGGGGAATTCTTTTGTGAATGTTTTTGTTCTATTTTGTTGTGATTTTGTGAATGATTTTTTATGTCATTTTAGTATATAATATGATTTGGTTAGTTCACCCAAGAAAAAAGAATGTGGATGTTGTGTTTGGAATCCTATCGTCATCTTCCTCGCATGCAACGCTCTGGCCGTTTTAATTGAAACCAAAACGTGTTACGGGTGCCTAACACAACCTCTCACTATCTCACATCATTTGGTTTTTGTTCTGATAAATTTGTATGCTTTCTGGATTTTTTATGGCTGTTTTGGACCTTTTCTTTTCTGAATTTGTGTGCTTCTCTGGGTTTTTTTATGGCAGCTCTGAGGAAGAGCAAGAAAAAGGAAGAACCATTATTAGAAGTTCTTCCCGAAGAGTACTACGATGATGTGAGTGCCTTTATCCTTTAACTTTGCCAAATATGTGCTCAAATTTCATGTTTTTCTGTGATTATATGAGTAAATTTTTGTATTTTGTTTTTGGGTTTCGCAAATTCAATGGTGGTATTTATGGGTTTGATATTGATTTTCAGTTAACAATGACTTTGGGGAAATTGATTGAGTCTGCATTCAATGTAACTTTTCATGCAGTTACATACTGATGAAATAGAATTCAATTTTTCATTCCCTTCTTTTTTTAAATGCAGTTACATTTATATGATGATTTACAGCATATATTCATCTTTTAGTTTCTAATTCTTCATGCAGTCTAAGCCATGAAGGATTTGATCAACCCACAATTAATAACAATGTGCGGCGGCACCAACGGTTTTGGACAAGGAACAAGTAAGTACCATTTTGCTTCATTGTTCCAAAGTATTATGTAGAGATTGCTTTAATATCTTGGCTTCTTGGCTGTATGTGGGGTGTCCGAGATAGAATTTAGGAGATTTGGTTTAGGGTTTGCAAAGAGAGAGAGAGATAGAGGGTGTCTGAGAGAAATGTGGGAGGATTTAGGCGAGGGATTTCAGTGATTTGTTCAGGGTTTCTTTTCTGCGATTTGCAGACAGAGAGATGGGACAAGGGTGAGAGAGAGATGGGAGGATTTTCTGCAAGGGTAAAGGGAATGGGTAAGGGAGGGGTATGGGTATGGGTAGGGGATGTAAAAGCATTTTGTTTTCCATTTGCTTCCTGAAACCCGAGGGATTTCTGCTATTGCAGAGAGAGAGAGAGATGGGGGTGTCTGTTAGGTGCCCTTTAATTGTCACTTTTGTGATTTGTCATAGTATGAATGGCATGACATCCTGTATAGCTGCTATTGCATTGTGATGTAGTATTTCACGCTTACTGGTGGTTAATTGTAGATATATGTGACCATTGTCTTTTCAATTGATAAAAAATCTTCTGTAACTTCTGAAAATTTATGGTAACCATTGAAAAGCAGTGTGATTTGTTCTTGGCCATCATATTTCAAATCAAAATTGGTTCTGTCATGAATAATTCAAATGATCAGTTCTTTCATTATTTTTTTTTATGGTAACCATTGAAAAGCAGTGTCCCTTGAAAATTATGGTCCTTATCAGTTTGAGGTGTGCTTTTTATTATTATTTTTTTAATCAGAGATTAGATTTTAACTTATGGTAAACAACATTTGGGATTCCCAGCCGGCTTACATCAAATTCCCAAATGTTGTTTACCATCAGCTAAAGTTCTATCTTTTACCATAATCCCACCTCTTTCCACATGATATATTATTACTGTCACAGTAAATTCGAGAGTTGAATTGAGAAATTCTCAGATTCATACTATGACAGGTACATCCACATTTGATGAGATACTTTGGGTGTTCAAATTCCAGAAATATTCATCTAGGGTTAGGATCACGCGGCTAGAATTAAAGGGTTGCAGGGCACTTTTGTCATCTTAATTTTGGGATTGGGATTGATGGTGAGGGCAGACAGAGAGGGACAGCGGCCATGCTGCTTGTAGAGGGAGAGAGATTTCGTGCGGATCTTTGATTCGGGAGTGGGAGGGTGACAGTGAGAGAAACCGAGTGAGAGAGAGAGAGAGAGAGATTTCGTGCGGATATTCGATTCGGGAGTGGGAGGATGACAGTGAGAGAAATCGTTGGGATTGCAGGGAGAGAGAGATAGGGAGGGGTGGGGGTGGCGAACAATGGCAAGTTAGGTTCGTGTATGCGGGATTTGCTGTCCTTCATCCATCATGTGTCTGCATGTCCTCATTCACAAGGTAAGTACGATTTTTATACTTGATTTTCTAGTGTTTGGTATGGTTTTAATCCTCTCTGCCATTTTTATATTCGTGCATGTCCTGATTGAAAAGTGAAGAAATCATTTTGAAATCTTTTATCTACTGCTCATAGCCGCATGTATGTTCTTCACCAACCCCACCTCTCTTTCATCAACAAAGCTTGATAATTTGTTTTATTTATTTTCTGGAAATTTTTCCAATTTTGATTTTATTCAATTTTGTTTTGTTTTTGTTTTTGTTAGTTGCAGCTGCCAGTAGCAATTTTCCCAGTACACATGCCCTCGATGCAGCTCACGCTACTGTTCCCTGCACCGCTACAAGGTATGCATGTTGATTTGTACATATTCTTATTTATTTTATTTTGTAATATTTAGCAAAATCAAACATTTGATCACCTTCTTTTGATTTTGGGTTTGGTGGGTTTGATGCGTACTGATATAAATTTATTTGGTTTTGGTTGATCTGAAATTGGTGATTGCATAACACGTTGGAATGTGAATTTTCATGCGTTTTGTAATTCTGAGTCTCTGTTTGGATGCTTTAACATGTTGGATTACCTTAAGATACTGGCCTTCCGTGACTCCCTTGATTTATGCATGATGGAACTAATGTACTTTAGAATAGATAATTTTTCTGGTCTTCTTACTTTTGTTGGAATGTTGTTACTGTAATCTGTTAATTTTGGATATTTGTTTGTCTTGACTCGTGGGTTCTGTAGAATTAGACTCCAATTGTGTCCTCTCTAGTTTTCTAATTATTTTCTCAATTACGATTATTTCTTACCAATTTCCTTTTGAGATTTGTGCATGTGTGTTTGTTAATGCTCTGTTTCTTCGTTTTTACAGGAAATAGAATTGCTCTCTTCCTCTTCTTGGAAACCACGTATGCGCTCTCTCTCAAATTCTTTCATTTGGGGTCTAAAGGTGATGCCTTTTTGCCTAAAATATCATGTTGTTAAATGGGTTATGATATTTTGATTCTCTGCACATTCTGCATAGTGCAAAAAGCAAAATCTCTCTCTTTCTCTTTTTTGCTTTTTGTGGCTAAAGATAATTTCTTTTGTGTCATAAATTTGTTTTTGTTACATGGGGTTATGTACATCTTTTGGATAATAAAAAAGTTTGAATCTTTACTAGGTTTCTTTAAATTTCTTTGAATTCTGCTTTGCAATTTTGGTTTAGAAATGTGTAGAATTGCATTTAAGAGGATCATAAGGAAGAGAAGCAAAGATCAGTTCTCAGGCAATCCGTACGTGAGATGACTATGCTTAATTGCTTACTCTCCACTTGGTATGCTGCTTTGCTTCTCACTCCTTCAACTGCTCTCTTTTTTTCTTTTTTTTTTTCCGAAGATAGAGATAACTATGCATTCCCTTCAATTGCTCTCTCTCTCTCTCTCTCCCCTCTCTGCTGTGTATTGCCTAATTAGTTATTTACATTTGTTTATTTATCTTTGTAAAACTTTCATGCTTGGATTTTAAATATATGATTCAATTAGAAACCTTTATAATGTTGATGGTAGTAGAACATGCAACAGATATATATCAACATTCGGTGGCTCTGGCAAAATCATATAGACTAAGATTTGGTAATATATGGAGGTGAGATGAGCTATTACATTTCGAACTAAGACCTAAGAATCTTCGCAATTCTTATCCTTTAAATTTTGTATTTTTTTTAAAATATTTATTAATTTTTTGGTGATGCAGATAGATGAACATGTTCAATGGGAAATCATGAACCATAGATCACTGGACCATCCGAATATCATTCGATCCAAAGAGGTTAGTGATCATAAACTATTTTCATTTTGTATTTTTTTTAAATATTTTTTTTTTTTGGTGATGCAGATGGATGAACATGTTCAAGGGGAAATCATGAACCACAGATCATTGAAGAATCCGAATATCATTCGATTCTCAGAGGTCAGTGATCATAAATTATTTTCGTTTTGTATTTTAAGAGGATGAATTTGCCAAGTTCTATTTGAATTTTGTATATCTGCTGGGTTGGGTGGATGACGACAGAACATGCTAAATTTGGTCTTTGGTGTGCTTAAACTGGTACGGGGGATGGTTGGAACTTTGAACCCGGAATGCAGTAGGACTAAGAGAAATGCCCTACCCACCGGGGCAATCCACCACTTGAACAATTGTTGTTAAAATAACACTGCTAAATATGAGCTTTACTTCTTGCACTTTGTGTCTTATTTATTCAGTTACGTGTGAAATGTGTCTTATTCATGCAGTTACGCCTGAAACAGTTAGTTCACACCACAACTCGTGGGCTTATTTTCTAGTTGGGCTCTGAAACTTTATTTTTCTTCAAAACAGGTTTTATTGAAAACAATTTTTTAGGGAAAATTGAAAATGGATAGAAACGAAGCTTAACAACCAATACACATTTGAATTTAGTGATTTGTGCATCATCACCATCAATTTGAATTAACCTGGGTAATAGTTTAGAGCACTCGTTACCATGGCGTCATGCGGGACTCGTTCTCAAGGTCGATCACTTCATGGTTACAGAGAGAGTAATTAGCCGCGCACACGACAGTTGAAATAGATTCCTTCTTAAGGTTCTCGATCCATTTCGGCCCGATAAATCTCTGACATGAATCCGTTACCCAGCTGGAAGCGTGACCGCCGTCCCAAGGCGATCTGTCAGGTAGGATCATTGGATCTTCACTACTTGATGGGACATCCTCCTTATCCTTATTTTGCTGCTCGTACCCAAACTGGACTCCAATCCCCTTTGTGAATAAATCGTCATGATCTTCGGTTAGTCTAAAATACACTTTTTCCCCGCACTCCAATTCATTGTTCCCCATAATCCAATGGCTTAGCCATAACATATCTTCGTTCATCACTTTCCATTCAACCCCAGTCGACATTCTTAAGTTCCACTTAAGGCCCTTTGTCTCATTCCTAAGTTCAAGCGAATGGGCATGAGAGTTTCCAAATGGAATCCCAAATGGAATCACAGGGCTTCGATCCGATTGCCGGGCATACAGTATACATGCATTTAAACCTACGATCTTGATATTAGGCTGTGAAGGAACAATAATAGAGAACACAGTGTTACCCATGCTCCTGTAATCGAACCGATCTGGAGGCATCCACCTGTAATTGAACCGATCTGGAATCTTGCTCTCGTGCACAAAAATGCTAATTATGCCGCATTCAAAAGTTCCCTGCGATTACAATCTAATTGTTTACGCCATAGAGATCATATTATAAGCACTTGTACATAGCAGAGAGAGAGAGAGAGAGAGAGAGAGAACCTTGGAGCGCCTTGGCTTGCTAAAACTTGCACAATCGTTGTTCCTTTGGACCTCTACGCCACCGTTGGGTTTCAAATCGAATAGATCCATATCTTTGAGGAGTTTTATGTCAAAGCTGCTCAATGGTAGTGTATTGAACAAGCTTGCAACATCAACTAGTTTCCCACAATACCATAAATTTGAGTCCAATACTATATTGTAATGCATTAAATCTAAGTCCTTTTGCATGCCGAAGGGATATACGGTAGGTGATATGTGCAAGTTCGGTAAATTTGTTATTCTTTTCAATGATGTGCAACCTCTACCATTCAATTGTTTCAAACTATGTGGGAGCTCTGGAAGCATTGTGAGGTTTCTGCAACCTTCTACTGCAAGAGTGTGAAGCCTAACAAGATTGTTCATGCTCTCTGGTAGGCTTGTAATTGGATTGTTATACAGATCCAAGTACTCTAACGAAGACAGCATAGTAAGGGCACTCGGAATCTCTGATAGATTGCAGCTATCCAGACGTAAACTTGTCAAGGAATGTGGTAAACTTGCCAATGAGAAACTGCTTGGTTCAATATTTTTTCTTGGCGACACCTGCGACCAGATTGAATACCATGATTTAGCTGATAGCAGATTGAGTTTCTTCATTTCACAAGCTGTAGATTGTAAGTGACCAGTTGTGGCAGTCGTATTGGCACCAAGCACAAGCTTTGAGCAACCAGAAAGAATAAGATCCTGAATAGATCTCAATTTTGGAAGCTTCATGAGATTTTTGCAGCCTTCTAGATTCAAAACAACAAGTTTCTCTAGGTATCCGATGGACTCATCAACCTCAACCAAATTTATGCAATCTTTAAGAATCAATCTCTCAAGGTTAGGGAGTCCTGAGAAGTCGGAGGTTGTCCTAAGGCCATGCGAATGACTGAGATTAAGAATTTTCAGCCTCGGAAGAAACTGTTTCAATAACAAGTATTAATCAATTTCTAAGAAGATATAATGGACATGTGTGAGAGAAAGAATGAGAGAGAGAGAGAGGGTTACGTACCCTGATCCCATTCCAAACATGTTGTAGGCTACTATTTCGCATGTCAAGAACAACCAGGTTTTCCAAATAAAAATTTTCTGGTATTGATTTTAAGTGGAATCCTCTCCAAGATAAACATATTAAACTTTTTGAAAATTCTTCGTAGCTTCCCTCGACGTTGACGTTGTTGAGAATGAGAATTTCAAGATTGTGCATCCTTCTAAACGCCTCAGATTTGAAATCTATCTCATTTGATGCAGAAGCTGAGTTTGTGGAGGAAAAGCTAATTGGCTTCCAAGACAAGAAACCAAGCCAACGTTGTCTTGAACAATTTCTATCATAATCTTCAACATGGCATTGTTTTTTATCACTTCCAACAAACGTTCTTTTGCTAGCAAGGTTGAGCATGAGGCCCTTAATATTTTCCGTGCCCTGCAAAAAAAATCAGAGCATTTGGGTAACTAGTACTACACATGTAAATCATAACTAAAAACATACGCATGAAAAACTTAGTTCTTACACTTAATTTTCTCAAAATATTAGAAGCATCATTCTGTAACACTCTACTACGTTTTCCAGGATCATCAGGTGATTCTTCGCGAATAATTGCCATTGCCATGTTTCTCACCAATTGATGCATGACCAACTTCGACCCTTGAATTTCCACTAGGTATCTGTCAACTAGATTTTCAATCCCAATCCTTGTGCAAAACTCTAAGCTGTCCAACATTGCACTTGTATAATCCATTGACTTTCCTGTGAAGAAACTGGCTATATGAAGGAATAAATTTTTGTCATGATCATCTTGTAAAGAATCAAAACTTATCCTCAGAACTTTTTGAATTTTGTCATTAGGGATCAGGTCTAACTTCTTCAATGCACTTTTCCACACTTCTACACTTTTTCCAGATAGAGAAGATCCCAGAACTTGAAGAGCTAATGGAAGCCCTCCACAGTGCTGCACCACATGTCTTGAAAGCTCCATGTAACCTTCTACTGGATGGGATTGTCCGAAGGCATGCCAACTGAAAAGCTCAAGTGATTCATCCTCATCCAGTTCTTGAACCATAAACTTTTCAAAAACTTCATGAGCATTTAACAAATGCTCATGTCTAGTTGTTATGATAATTTTACTTCCTGGATGAAGCCACTCTCGCATTCCAAGAATTGCATTGAGTTGATCCCGGTTGCTCACATCATCAAGAACAATAAGAACTTTTTTATTGCCTACGGCTTGTTTGATCCTGATTGTTCCTTCATCCATATTGTATACTTTCTTTGCTTTCCCCTTTTGGATATCTGAAAGAAGTTTTCTTTGCAAGCGAGCAACACCATTGGATTGTTCTGAAGATTCTCGTATACCTGCAAGAAAGCTGCTACCTTGAAATCTTTCAAAGTTGCGGTTATAAGCGGCTTTCGCGATGGTGCTCTTGCCAATTCCACCCATCCCACAGATGACAGCTAAACCAACATCATTTGATCCATCTTGTAACCACATGTTTAGGCGTCTCACACGATTATCCATTCCAACTGCAAAGGGAGTGACGTGTAAAGCTGCGTGACCCATTTTATTTCTAATCTTTTCAACAATTTCTCGGATGAACTGCCCCTCATGCCTGTAATTCATTTGAATCGAAATATACGACGCAGAAATAAGCATGAGAACAAATAAACCAAAATCGATAGAAAAATATAAACCAAAATCGCAGTATATATAGGAGCATATAAACCAAAATCGAACAACTTCAAGTTTCACTGCCATCTACAATTTTACTTAAGGTTTTTTAGCCAAAATACACAACTGCTTACTTTGGTCCTGATATTTGAAATCGATATAATTGGTCCCGAGTTTGTTCACATTTTGGTTATTTAGTGAAAAATCTCCATAAAATAAGGATAAAATGATAAAAATACCCTCAATTTGGTCAAATCATTTTGGCCTATTGTTTATTAAATTAAGGATAATTTTATCATTTTGATCCTTATTTAACTTAATTTTTCACCCAAGAACCAAAATGATTGATGGTGGACAATCTCAAAGACTCCTTCTATTGATTTTAAATCTCAGGGACTAAAGTTGTGAGTTATGCAAATCTCATGATCATTTTGGCTAAAAAAACCTTTACTTAATTTAAAAGGGGTTTTTTTTAACTTTAATCCTTCAAGAAGATTAAAATTTAATAAAAACCTGGTGTTAGATTGAATATTGATTTTAGTCACTTAATGTGTACTCAATTCAAATTCATATTATATTTTTGTTTTATATTTAATAGATAACTTATTTAATGTTATTACATTAAATTTTAAATTTATTATTATACACATTTTAATTCATTAATTTTATTTAACTTTCCCTAATTAGTGTACCTAAACGTCTGTATCATAATATATTTTACTAAATTAGTGTACCGAAATGCCCGTACTTAAATATATTGTAGTGAATTAGTGACACATAAGAAAATATGTAAAAATATAAGTGTACCGAAAATTCCGTATCTAACTATTTGATACTAAACTAGTGTACCCAAATGTCGGTACCTAAATATATTACACTAAACTAGTGTACCGAAATATACGCACCTAACCATATTATACTAACCCAGTGTACCGAAATGTTTGTACCCAAATATATTGTAATGAATTAGTAGCAAATAAGAAAATATGCAAAAACATAAGTGTACCAAAAAATCTCTACGAAAATATTTTCTTATATAAGATGCTTACCATAATGACAATTAAAATTTATAATATTTTCATAAAATTTAAATTTATAAAATTATAAATAAAAAAAAATAGACATTGAATACATGTGCTGACATTAAATAGAGTCTAAGGATTAAAATCAATTTTTAATTTTGTATAAGACATTTTTCTAAACTTCATCTTATTTAAGAATTAAAATCTAGTTTTCTAAATATTTTATATTGAATTAATGTACCTAAATGTTTATGTCGAAATGTATGTACCGAAATATGTGTATCTAAATGTATGCATTGAAATGTATTATAATGAATTTAATATACCTAAATGAAAAAGACAAAGTACATCAAAATATATTATGTAACGAAAATTAGTTTATCTAAATGTTTACAACAAAATATATTACGATAAATGAAATGAAAATGAAAATTATAGTGAAATAAAATTAATACATTAAAAATTAGGAAGAAAAAGAGAAATAATTAAAAAATATATATAATTAATAAATGAGGTTATTAATGTATCATAGGACAAAAATTAGATTTTGATTTTACTCATGGTTTTAGTCTAAAAGTCGTATTTGCCAAGGATTAAAATTTAGTTTTCTATAAGGGTTTTTGAACTTTAATCCTTCAAGAAAATTAAAATTTAATAAAAATCTTGTGTTTGATTGAATATTGATTTTAGTCCCTTAATGTGTACTTAATTCAAATTCATATTATATTTTTGTTTTTATATTTAATAGATAACTTATTTAATGTTATTACATTAAATTTTAAATTTATTATTATACACATTTTAATTCATTAATTTTATTTAACTTAATAAATTTTATTTAATTTTATCGAATTAGTATACCTAAACGTCTGTATCATAATATATTTTACTAAATTAATGTACCCAACTGCAAGTACCTAAATATATTGTAGTGAATTAGTGACACATAAGAAAATATATAAAAACATAAGTAAACCGAGAATTCCATACCTAACTATATGATATTAAACTAGTGTACCGAAATGTCAGTACCTAAATATAGTATACTAAACTAGTTTACCGAAATGTCCGTACCTAAACATATTATACTAACCCAGTGTACCAAAATATTTGTACCTAAATATATTGTAATGAATTAGTGGCAAATAAGAAAATATGCAAAAACATATGCGTACCGAAAAATCTCTACGAAAATATTTTCTTATAGAATTAAAATTCATAATATTTTCATAAAATTATAAATAAAACAAGAGACATTGAATATATATATATATATGCTGACGTCTAATGACTAAAATCAATTTTTAATCTTGTATAAAATATTTTTCTAAACTCTACCTTGTTTAGGGATTAAAATCTAGTTTTCTAATTTAAAAGACACTTTCAATTAGCGTGAGAACATAATGAGAAAAGAAATTACCGATCTCCTAAAACCATTCCTCCCAAAGATGCAACATCTCTAAGAGCTCTTCTCCACTGCTCTACCTTGTCCATCTCCTCCGTACTGAATCGCTCCTCATGTCTGGCAAATGCTTCAGCAAAAGAACCACTCTGCTTCCTGACATCGGATGGATCCACATCATAGAAAACTGGCAGAACCACATGTCTACGATCAGTATTTCTACGTTCCACGATCTTCACAAGTTCGTTCAAACACCACCTTGAGGAAGCGTAGCCCTTGGAGAAGACAATTATCGATACTTGTGACTCCTGTATCGCCTTGTCTAACTCCAACTCAATATTCTCCCCTCTCTCGATTTCATCATCGTCTCTAAACGTGTGGATTCCTGCTTGCTCCAAGGCTATATAGAGGTGATCAGTAAAGCCCTTGCGCGTGTCTGGGCCTCTGAAACTCAAGAAGGCATGATAGGAACACCGGTAAGAGGAGGAAGAAGAATCTCGGAAAGCATCCATCTAGAGAAACTCTCTGCTTCTTGGTTATTGCAATGAATGGATGCAGGGCAAGCATATGCAAGGCCAAGGACAATTATATGCAGTTTCTGAGAGGGACATATATATGAAGAGGAAGGTTCCCATTAGCCACCAGGCACTCCACACTTATTGACGAGGAAGTGTCCTCGTAAGTGAATGGGATGTTGAATTAGTAGCCAAATAATTTGGCAAACTTTTGGCTAATAAAAGTAAAGGCATGATGATTTTTGTAGAAAAAGGGTTTGCTAGATTCCTTTTTTCTTTTGGCATTTTTCAAAGGCAGAGAAGAGAATTGGTTTTCTCGGTGAGCACCATTATTTGGGTAAAAAGAACGAGTGTGATCTTTTGGCAGAGAAAGCAGTGCGGCCGAAAAAAGAAAAGAAAAAGAGGACAGCAATCATGATGTTTTGTTTGAGAAGGAAAGCAAAGAGCACGGGTGTGCTGGTCCGCTCCTCTTTGCACATGTGCTTGTGCTTGTGCTTTTGGCAGAGAGAGTAAAGAATTGAGAGAAATTTTTAGTTGTAATTGGACATTAATGTTACATCATATGTTTTTATGAAAATGGTGAAAATTTTTAATTTTGAAGTTATTAACATTTTAATACACATAATTCATCATTTATATAGGGACACGTGATATACCACCTCGTGTGACAGTCACACTGAAAAATCTCTCAAGAATTTGGAAAAAGGTTAGTGGGCGTTTGGTTGGAAGTAGTAGCAGCTATTTGTTTAAAAGGAAACTAATGAAAATAGTTTGAAAACTTTGAGTTTTAACTATAAGGACAAAATAAAGGGTAAAGTAAATAGTATCAGGATTGACTTTTTAATGTAAAAACGTGGTTTTTCATTAAAATAAACAGTACCGAAAACTTTTCGATAAAGTCCCCATGTTTAAAAGCAGAAGCATAGCAGCCGAGAGGTTAGGAGAGCTGTACAAGGAGAGCATTCGGCTCTCTCATTTGAAGAAGTGTCGTTGCTTCTCCACATTTGTTAGTAATCACTCAATCAAAGATATTGGTGCTCTGTTGTATAGTTTTTTTGGAGATAAGGATTTTAATATGTGTTTCTTCTTCATTTTTTTTTAGTTTGAGTGAGAGCTATTGGATGTACGGGAGATTTGGGATTTGAGAGTTAAACTTTATTTGTAATTTCCATCTTGTTATTAGTGGAATTTTCTCACCGTCTAATAACTGGACGTAAGCTTACACCAAACTAGTACAAATTCTTGTGTCATTTGAATTATTTGTCTTGTCATATTTTGCTACTTAATAGTTTCATATTTCACGGTTCCGCGCAACATCCTGGCCTCTGAAACTCAAGAATGCATGATAAGAACACCGATAAGAGGAGGAAGAAGAATCTCGGAAAGCATCCATCTGGAGAAACTCTCTGCTTCTTGGTACTTGCAGTGAATGAATGCAGGGCAAGCACATGCAAGGCCAAGGACAATTATATGCAGTTTCTGAGAGGGACAAGTAGGACAAGACATAATATTATATATGACGAGGAAGGTTCCTATTAGCCACCAGGCACTCCACGCTAAATGACGAGGAAGTTTCCTCGTAAGTGAATGAGATGTTGAGGATAATATAGACTTTGAGGTCTTTGACTATCAGTTTTTGTAGAGTATCCCCACTAGCAGTTCTTTGATGAAACTAGGACAAAAAAAACTTACCAGGTGTACATAAATCTTAAGGTAAATGACATTTTACCCCTTCAGATTTCGATGCAATTACAACATTATACAATATTTTTAAAATATTTCAATCTCATACATTTAGTATTATTTTTTTTTAATTTTATATAACTGTTAAAAAATCTATTAAGTTAACCGTTAAGTGATGACGTGACGAATAAGGGGTTCCCATTTATGTTAACGTAGCTGCCACATTTGTATCATGTGACTAAACACTTAATAAAATATTTAAAATATTAAAATAATTAATTAAAAAAGTATTTAAAAAATAAAATAAAATCCAAATCGTTTTCCCCATCCGAGCCCACCCCCAAATCACACTCCCTCTCTCTCTAATCCCTAAACCCAGAAACCCCTTCGTCTTTCCCAAATCAGAGACACCCCCTTTTCCCCACCCGAGCCCACCCCTAGATCCCCCCTCACAACCTCCTCTCGCGCGCCGCCCACTACTCGACATCATCGGCCTCAGCAGCCATTGCGCCTCCTACAAACTGTAATTTACCCATGAAGTTAAATTGATAGGTGTTTTATGATTGACAAATATATAAACAAAATGACTTAATTTTCAATTTTTTTTAAATCATAAAAAAATTTCTAATTTAACATAAAAGACCAATTATCGCACCCATAAGTTTTTGGCAAGCGTCTAGTAAAACAAGAAAAATAAAGTACAGTAAATAAGAGGGAGTTAAACCTTACCGTTTATGAGTTAGAGGGAAGATTCTTAGTAGCCACCAAGACACTCCACACTTATTGACGAGGAAGTTTCCCCGATGGATTAAGTCAATGGGACGGTGAGGATAATATAAAATATGAGAGGAGTTTGACTATTAGGGGAGAGTTTGACGATCAGCTCCCATGATGAAATTAAAAAAAAAAAAAGAGAAATGCCAAGGAAAATCTATCAGAGCAAGTTCATCCATTCAATCCGGGTATCATTTTTTGTTCATAATGTTTGACACACATTTTTGCAATACTTATTTATGAATTCAAACGATCTGAAACGTTTATCACTTATTCTTTTCTCAAAGATTATATCTACCAAAAGATCATCTATATCTGATCCATTTCTTCATTGCAAATTAATGTCTTCAAAATTTTGGTTTATATAATTATTACAAAGATGATTTATGAATGACCATAAATTCTTAAAATACAGAGAGTGAGTCCAGAAACCGTGTGTTAAGGGTTGGTAAGGAAAAAGTGGTGCAACTGCCGCGGAAGAGAGACCATTTTAAACGATGTCTAGCCTTTATTAAACAATGACTCGCACGAGATTGACCAATCTCCAAACTGTCTTCATTTATTTATTTATTTTTATCAATCTCCAAACTATCTATTCTTTCGACAATCCACGTTCAGAAAACAAGCATCCGCATTATTGTCAAGTGCAATAATTCTGGGAATACAAATCTGTAAAACATCCAACAAGGACTACAACCTTCAAAGCTAGTCTATGAAGAGGCTCAGTGCTCACAGCTCAGTGGTAAGGAACTACCAAAGAAAATGTCATACGGGAACGTATAATCTACATCAAGACGCGAAGTGATGAGATTAACTCTGACAGGGGATGCATATTTTGAGAGCAACATGAATTTACAAAACAGAGAAAAGTAATATGAACTCAGATTCTTCCCGCTCGATCTGCAACAGCATGAAAAAGAAAAGAAGGTATGACTAATCTTGCAGAGTTTAATTTTGAAATCAAATGCGATAAACAAAAGAACCACAAGTTTGCTATAAATCACTACACAAGATATAAACGAACGGGACATGCTGGTCAAGATATTTTAGATCATCCACTATTTGCGCAGCAAGTCAATCAAGTTTAGAAAATTATCTTCTATTTTTTCAACTTAAAAAACATAGCGACAAAGAAAGTGACCAACTTGAATGATCTAGCAGTCGAAGCCAATTTCAACGTATGGAACGAAAAGTACAAGCATACATAATTAGGAACCCAACTAAAGATAAATAAGTAAACTTACCAAGATCAACAATAATACAGGCATATCAGGACTTGATCTATAACAAAAACAAAACTTGTCATTCATGATGTGAGAGTGGTGTAGTTCAACTGTACAATTAACAGTCCCAACCGGAGCGCCTCCGCCTTTCTCTAGGTTTCTCTCTAGAACTGCAATAGACACAACAAATGAAACTGATCAGCACCAAACAAATACATAAAGGGACATTGAAAATTATAATTGACCACCAGTTTTATTAACCTTTCAGAGGGTTTCTGACTTGAATTTTCTCCAGTGTTCTGAGGACCAGTTTTATTTATCACTGATGTAGGAGGAGCAGGAGTAATTGTACTGGTTGTCTGAGTTCTATATACATCCCCACCGATTGAACCACCGGATACAAATCCTCGTAATGCCGGTCTGCTGGGCACACTAGAGCTGTTACCTGAACCATGACTAGGAGAGTTGGATGAAGCGGCAACAAATTTAGTCTTGAACTGAGACATCATTCCTGTCCTCTGAGGAGTTACTGCAGCAGATCGACTAGCAACAGTATTCGATGAAGAATTATTGGACTCCGTATTATATCCAATACCCAGACCAAAATCCACCCCACGCACACCTCGACCACCGCTGCCCCTCCCTCTACCTTTCTTTCCACCTGCAGAATCCATATAATATTATCATTTGAAATTATAGAAAAGGGCTAATTTAATATGAAATTTCAAAGAATCTTAAGAAAATTGAAATTTTAATATGATTAAAGTTTATACCTCCTTTTCTTGAATCACGTTTTGACCTGAATCTACCATCCTGATAATAAACAAGGTAAATCCCATCAAAATAGAGAATGTAAGATCTGAAATTTAACATCTCATGCTAACATCTAAAGCTATCAAACAAGAAACATGGTAAGGGAAGGCAACAAAAGTTCCACAGACAAGGTGCACCCAAAATAACTATAAAGATGCACATCCATGTAGGAGATGGAAACCAATGTATTTATGATGGATATGAAATACAAAGCTACAAGCAGCAAGCAAGAATTAAAAGTCACAAGACTGAAGAAATTATGTATGAGTGGCTCTCATAGTGTAAAACTTCTAAAACTAATGCAGGTGCAGCCACCTATCAAGATAACCTGTGCATTTATGTCTATGAGGTATACTGGCACAAGGGAAAATAAGTGTCACTTTACTAAGGGTCCATGTGGTAATTAAGATTTAGTACTTAAAATGCGATTTTTCTCTTAGTTCTTAAATGCAAATTGGTTGGCCTCAACAGACGTATTGGTTGCCCAGAATGCAAGCAAATACTTAATAATACATAAAAAGCTAATAAGTTCCCAGACTGAGCTTCATCTTCAATTCATCTCTATGCTTCAGTCCACAACCCAACAAGCCAACATACACCCCCAACAACCCCTTTTCTATGCAGAGCATGGTATGAAGTAAAGATGGGACTACTAAAGACTGTCTAATTACTCTCTCTCTAAACTAAG